GCGTAAAAACGGGTGATTCGACGGTCGTGGTTTCGAACGCCGGCGGGGCCGTGTTAAATCGAATTTCTTTTTTTTGCGTTTTTTTTTTCGTCACATTTATCATTTTTAACGAAAGTGTTAATTTTTTTTTTAAATTTGCATTATTATATTATATATATTATTATTATTCGTTTGACGATATTTATTGGGCAAAAAAATAATTATAATTAACATTTACCGACGCACCTACATGTTTCTTTTAATAATACATTATAATATAACTAACCTACGTGTAGTACCTACTTGATATATTACAGTTTTTACGTGATTCCGATTTGGTTAAATACTGCTACAGATTATAAATACTATATTAAAAAATAGTACGACTGTAATATGACTGCTTCATTTGCCGTTTTTTTCGAAAATTCGAGTCCCGGGGTGGAGTAGTGTGTCGGAAACGAGAGTATGTACAGTGTATTCATTTATAGATACCTACGTTTAATAGGATAGTATTACATTTCAATAAAATTTGTTATTCACCAATATAATTATCTATTTGTTAATTTGACTTAATTCTCATAATTAAATAAATATACAAGGTAGGTATATTTTAGAAAATATCCAATCAGAAAATTAGATTTTGTCGACTTATTTGTTATAACCGCGAAAACATAACAATGATTACATTGATTACAGTGAAGCCTAACATAAAACACCTGATAACTATTCTCTATAATTATCAACAAATACAATTTTATTACCTCCTGTATACTTTTTCATATTTGAACGGCCGTTCCGAGCACTTTTCGCTGTAGGCGGATTGTCCGTTCGGGAATCGGATTTCACCCGAGATGACTGATAACTAGACACTCAAACTCAGAATCCGAATTTCCGATTTCAACACACACACACCAGAACCGGACATACACGCCCGGTTCATGGTCTGCGATCCGACGTAGTCGGATTGCCTACCTGACTAGCTACTTGCATACGAGCGACTTACACCCCCACTGCATCCGATCCGCCACAGGTGGATTGTCCGTTCGGGAATCGACTTTCATCCGAGATGACTGATAGCTAGACATTCAAACTCAGAATCCGAATTTCCGATTTCAACACACATACGAGAACCGGACACACACGCCTGGTGCATGGTCTGCGATCCGACGTAGTCGGATTGCCTACCTGACTAGCTACTTCCATACGAGCGACTTACACCCCCACTGCATCTGACACTCGGGAATCGACTTTCACCCGAGATGACTGATAGCTAGATACTCAAACTCAGAATCCGAATTTCCGATTTCAACACACATACGAGAACCGGACATACACGCCCGGTGCATGGTCTGCGATCCGACGTAGTCGGATTGCCTACCTGACTAGCTACTTGCATACGAGCGACTTACACCCCCAGTGTCCCCCACTACATCCGACACTCGGGAATCGACTTTTACCCGAGATGACTGATAGCTAGACACTCAAACCCAGAATCCGAATTTCCGATTTCAACACACACACACCAGAACCGGACATACCCGCCCGGTGCATGGTCTGCGATCCGACGTAGTCGGATTGCCTACCTGGCTGGCTGTGTCGTACGATCGACTTGAATCGCGTGACTTACGACTAGACACTCTTCCGAGTTCAAAAATTACCGCTTAACCAGTGCTGCCAACACGACAAAACACAATAACCGACGACCCCCCATTCCCGCCGCAGGCTGGATCAAAAAACCCAGCATCGCCGACAAAGATGCACCACCGCCCACACAGTCTTTCCGCCGTAGGCGGGATGACAAACACCGGAATCTAGTTTTATTATAAAGAAGAAGAATAAATCAATACTTCACATTTACAAAACTAAAAAAGTATAATATTTTGACCGAAATCTAACTCCTAAATTCATACGGTATAAAGTACTTAAAACATGACAGAAGTACTGAACTATAATTTATGAACGTACCTATAAAGATACTAAACTCGATACTCCTTAGGGCTTAGGGCTTAGAGCTTGGATCATATTAATTCAAGCTTGGCGAAATAAAACTATCCGATACAATACAACGAACATTCAAACATTTTAATCTGCAAGGGTTTAATATCGATAAATATATCATATTTTATATTATTTATTAAAACCATTATTTTTAAGTAGGTAGTAAGTAGTAACCTATATGTATATACCAAGTACAAAACTTAAATTTATATTGAAGAATGATATTACATTGATATTTACAGAAAAAACATGTTATTTTATGGTTATAACAAAATAAATGAATTTAAAAACTTCACAATGAATTTTTTACCTAGTTAAAATATTTTGATTGTTAAAAACTTTTAATATTTAATAACGACCAGTATTTTTAGTTCCAAAATTGTTTTTATTTAATTATTCTTGTGAAATTGTTCTTATTCTAAAAAGTGTATTTAAAATAATATTTGAGGTTCCTTATTATAAAATAATTCACTGCATTTTAATTGATATAAATAATACACAAAGAAATGTCAAAGAAAAATATATTTCTTAGCTTCTTAAAGTACCTTATCGGACATTCGTTTGCTTTGTTTTCATATTTTTATCTTTGATATGTGAGGCCGTGTAGGAATAGAACATATCAATGAACATTGGATATAATAGATGTCAATACTATCACGTAACAAATTCTTAAGAAACAATACTCTTAGGTAGGTACATTATATTTGTACGTGAACTATTTTGTTGTAACTATCTCTTTAAAGTTTAAACCGCTATTCGCTCCCAACCCAAAATCATATTATTATTATATTATTCTACTCATTTTTTATACCTGTGTGATTTTATAACTACCTATATAAAAGTAGGTATTATTTTATAACAATATAAACCATGCTGTACGATTGTTACATAGGTAGGTATATATGTTTCCAATAACAATCTTAGATTCACTTTGAGATAAAATATCGTACATATTAAAAATAATTAAATACTATTATAACACGCATTATTGAATATTGCAATAAAGGCGTAGTATTAATAATTAAAAATCTGTTCTAAGCAATTATTACAAGGACAAGTTTTAAAAATAAATAACATTATTTGATTCTTGTAATAGTGAGTATAGGCTTCAGAAACTATATATTATACACACACATATTGTTATCGTTATGATACGTACACACATATTTTAAACACCGTATTTTACTCATAAACAAATTAATGTAAAATATTATACGCTCATTGTGTAGCCATGTAGGTATACAGCTAGAGTCACACGGTGCACGCCCGCGATGATTAAATGATACGGTTGATATGAGAAGTAGGTAAATATTAAAAACCAGAAGCACCTTTAGGCGGTAAAATTTCATGTAGAAATAAAATGAGAACTCGTTATGAAACTTTCTAAGCGGGATACCTATAGTAGGTAGGTACAAAAGTTATAATTCAAACAATAATTATTATACACACTTGTCACTTAACCTAACCGCATATAGCATAAGACGACAAACAGTCGTTATATATGCATTAAAATAAGCTCAAATATTCAGTATACTATGCAATTATTTTTATAAAAAATGTATTTATAATAATATGGAAATAAGGGTAATTATTCAAAAATCATTTTCTAATTACAAATTGTTATATTGGTAATAATGTAATATAGTTATATTTTATGTTTTCAAGTTTAAACTTTAGTCTTTAAACTATCGTCTGTTGTGGCTCAAAAGGTTTTTGTTAATAGAATATGATCTTTCAACATTAAATTTACCTATTGCTCCAATTACGAGCATACCTACTGGTTGTTAGACCTTCGGGAAGACTATCCATGTTAGAAATAGATCCACCACTAAGTATACATGAGATTTGTTATAATGGTTTTAAATCAATAATTTTTGATAAAACATTTCTAATTTGTCGTAATCATTTTTTCCTGGATCACCGTGAACGGATTTTAATTGTGTTTGGGCATAGTCCAGTAGTTTACGATAACTACACTCTTTAGTCTTCATGAGAGAAAGGTACTGGCGGCCGACCAAAACGCGTCCGCCGCAGCGCATCCCCTACCAACTATCAGTTGTATGCGTGATCACGTGGTCGTCCACGCACCAATCAAATCATTTTACATGCGCGGAACGGTACCGTTCTCTAGTGAAAAAGAGTATATATAGGTAGCCAGGTAGGTACTCAAAGATTCGACTAAAAGCATGTCTTAATACTTTGTCATAATTCATAATATAAACATGGCAACGATGTAAGCAGTGTTGAATTCCGGTATATTTCTGTGGGGGATGTCCCTGAAATTACTTTTGCCCCCCTGACAAATTCAACTTTCAAAAAATTTACCTATTTATTAAATGTACAATACTCGTTATGATTTCCGCACTTGCCACTTAATAGTGTTCACTAAAATATACCGTTTTCATTCCATATTGCCAATATAGCTGCAGCTATGGTACTATCTACTGACTTTCCCAAACAAAACAAAAATGACCCCCCCCCCCAGAAAAAATGTCTGGATTCATAACTGGATGTGAGGTGATTCTTTATTTTTAAATTCTTTATATTATAATTTTAAATTATTCAAAAATAGTTTGTTGTTGATTTATAAACATAATATGCATTAATATCTTTAAATAGGTATGCAAAATCATATAAATTTAGTAAAATGTGCAACATATTATACAATTTTGTATTTCGATTGTACTTATATATATATCAAGAAACGAATTTGTATCAAATCAAATTTTGAATGTATGAAGTTTTGAGAGCCGATTATCATTATTATAATTATATAAGTAACTATATAGGTAATTATTATAATACAAACCACCGTGTTTGTAGAAAAGTGATTTTGAGTGGAGTTTGTTTGTTAACTCGATTTTTACTTATTTAAAAACGATAAAAAATATAGACCGTTTATATGATATATTATATTATTATGTATTGTTAGACCGGTCTTAATAGCACTATATTTATTTATATATATTTATAATTATATTATATTATTGATGCGTCATTATGAACGGTGTTTGTATGTATAGGACAGTGGTTGGTATTGGACAGAGTGTCAGACAAAGTCCAACTGCTGGAGCCGCGCCCGTTGAGGGCCAAGTGCACGAGACGCCGATGCAGCGAGTCGGACGTGTACTGGCCCAAGGACGGGTTTTGCCACGACGAGGAATCTGCCCGGCGTGACCGGTTGTGCGCCAGCTCAGACACCGTTTTGGCCACCGACGAGTACGGCGAAGGGTACTGCAAGTGTCACGACGGTGGCAAAGTCCCTTACGTGCAGGTCGTCTCCGCCGACGACGACGACGGTAACCAAAGCTCGCAGCCTTGCTATCCGGTATATTCTAAGGGTGCGTGTCCCAGGAATCACGTGCTAACACCCCACGGGACTCGGTGAGTACAAAGGTCAATGACTATTTTACTATAGAGTAAAAGTGTTAAAGCGGCCATTTTGTTTTTTTTTTCAAAAATATTTTATTCCTGCTCTCTAATTTACCGGTTTTACTGTTTTGACCTACTATCCTATGTATTATAATTATAATATATTTTTCAAGCCTTATAAGAATATAATATATTATTATTAGAGGGTGTTGCTCATAATTGCAGTGAGATTCAAGGGACACTACAGCTGCAGTGGCGTATTTACGGGGGGGTCCATGGGGTCCGGACCCCCCCCCACATTGACTCGTGTCTCGTACATGTTAAATGTTGTACAGTTTTTACATGATTGAAAAACAAATTTTATCATACGATTTAAATGGTTGAAAAATACCAAATTCATTTTTTAATTCAAATATTTTGAAGTTTTGTAAATTGCCAGTATCTACAACCACTCCAGAGAGATCTTTTTCAACCTTTTTAAGGTTGAAAAGCTATCTAAGATCAACTTTGAATGAAGTAGGTAAATAATGTAATTAAGGAAATATGTGTATAAAAACATATAACATATAACTATATATTCGATTCTGAGAGATCTATTGGTTATACAATGGTGTTTATTTTTTTTTCCTGTATACAAAATTTCATCCAGAAGAAGTGCTTCGATTTCAACATGTATAGACATATAGTAACTTATCTTTTAGAAAATTGGATCAAGATAGTACTTTAGAGAGGTCATTTTTCGATTTTCTCAATAGTTATTTAATGCCACTGTAAAAACCACCAAAAATTTATGAAAAACCGCTAAAAATAGGATTTTAATTTCTAACACATTGTCTATCACCATAGAAAAAAATTAAAAATAAAAGTATTTCATTATTAATTCAACTTACAGGCTATAATAAATAATTACAATATAAAATATTCAGACTGACAAACCGTCTTCGCTCAGAATCGTTTTTCTTATACAATGATATTATGATATTATATCATTGAGTTCAAGTTTAATACAATCCATTATACATTGACCCACTTATAACCTACTGTACAGCAGCAGAGTGACATCCACTTACCCGCTTTTTTTTTAAATTTGTTTTGTTTTTGTACATATTATTTAATAATTAAAAAATCGACAATTTTATATCGTCTTATAAATATGGTATATTTTATTTAATAAAGAGTAAATGGGTGGTGTGGGGGGGGGTTCGTCCCCCGTGGCTCTGAGTTCTGAAAATTATCTGGACCCTCCCCATGACAAATTCCTAAATACGCCACTGTACAGCTGCATTCGGTACTCGGTAGTGGTAAATCGATTAAAGCACATTCGGCTTCCATTTTTTCTAATGGCTCCCGCTTTACAAATAGGTAAATTCCCGAACGGCTCCGGATTTTGACAACACAAATTTCTTCTCACTCCATACAAACTTATAAGTACCTATAGTGTCTCAATAGGTCAAAAATGTGTTGCTATTTTTTAAATTATATATAATGTATATTGTATATTGTAAGTAAATTATAAAAATTGGAGTTACATAAAAAAATCATAGGTAGGTATTATAAATTGTAAATTAAAAATAAAAAACAAAATGAGATGATGTATTTTTTTTAATGTTGTATAGTAAATAAATTACAATAATACATTTTGGAGGCACAATTTTTTATATAATCTATTCTGGAAATTTAATTAGACAAAAATTCATCAATGATGGCTCCAACGAGCCAGTTTTTTATTTTTTTCATTTGGTGCTAAGTGTATTGACTATTGATATGACTGCGAGCATTTATTTGAGTCTCAGATTGCATTTCAGTCAGTTTAATGTAAATGTATTAATTTAAGTTTCAAAATATTTTAACTAGGCAATTCATAAAAGTGAATTTTAATATTATTATTTTAGTTTGATCATTAAAGTGTTTATTGTGATAAAAATAAAATCCTGGAAGTTAAATTTTTACCCATATTTTTGTAATATATTGTAAACAGTGTTGTAGTAGAATTGAATATATTTAAATATTATATAAACATTTAACATACATATTATTTCAGGATTATCTTAATGTACCTTTAGGTATAATACTACTATAATTAATGCTACATGACTACCTGTACTCGTGAATCAAATATTATTAAAATAATGTTATTGTGCACATGAAAAATATCAAATGTGTGATCATTCAATTGTATAATGGGTAAAAAAAGTATCTGTATAAAATTTTTCAAAATTTTTATCTCTAATAAATTATTATTATATCTCCAACAAATTGTGAAGTAATAGTATCGATACATTCACTGATGTTTTAAAGGAAGTTTTGATCAAAGTTAAGCACTATGTAGACCTAGTTAGAAAATTAAAGTTAAATTTCAATGTTCCTTTAAAATTAACTAATCTTACACGTTAAAATTAAAAACTAACTACTAACCTAGGTAGTTAATTTTGTGAATACAATACAATTGACTGCTGACGCCTGACTAGTGGCTGGATGATAGTAAAATTAATAATTTATTAATCTATAATATTTTTTATATCATGGATACTATGTGTCTTATTATTTTATCAATAATTATCATATTATGATATTTCATGGTTTAAACCGGAATTCTATTGTATTGTCGATGCATCGGTGCCGCTAAAATGTTAGGTACCAAACACAATTTACCCCCACCACTGTAGTCGTGTAACCAATAGGTATCTACGTATAATATGGTCTCTACAACTCGCAATTGTCCTAACTCCAAAAATGCGTTTTTTGGATTATTACATTTTTCCTATAGATAATAATTGTATGCATCGTTTAAAATCGTTATCACTCCAATCGGACACTTATTTATCCATGAAATCAGCTGTTAAAGTTCGAAGGTTTTAATTCATTTTTTTTAAATTAATGAAATGTTTTATTCTTCCCCTGAAAAGTTCAAAGTTGTAATTTTGGAGTTAGGACAACTGCGAGTTAGGCCGACGATATTCTAAATTCCGATATTTCTATTGATTATTTGAAAAAAATTAATGTTATTACCTTGTACCTATACATACTTAAAACGTTTGGAAAATTGAAAAAAATATCAATTATTAACACGTTCACGGCCACGTGTCACATATATGTGACATGTGTGTCTGTTCTGAGAGACCGGTGTCACATATGTGTGACACGGTCAATATGATGTTCAAATGGGAGTTATTTACTCCGGTTTATCCTAACAAATATTATTTTTTCGTGGTTTAATTATACGTTATCTGAGGAATTGATTTATATAGTTGGTTTAAAAATTGGCCGATAGATGGAGTTGTTGTACCTATTTTGTTATTGTTCGATATTTGTCTATATTAGCACATGTTCGAATCGTAATCAATCGTTATCAAACGTTATTAATTATTATTAATTATTTTCACATTAAATGTAAATTAACATAATACAATAAATTCATAATTTTAAAAATTATATGTAAACTATGGATCCTGCCGCTATCAATGAATTATTATACGCCAGTTCAGACGATGAAAGTTTTATTGAGTATGACGATAGTTCCGATGAATATTTTCCTGGTGATACCGAAGAGCGCGAAGTAAGTGATGACTCAAATTGTTCTAGTGATAGCGAAGATTATAATATAAGTGATGATTGGGAAACAAATCATATAATTAACAATATTCGTACCAAGTACTATCCGAACGAAAATTTATCCTTAGACGAATCTATGTTGTTATGGAGGGGCAGACTAAGTTTTCGTCAATATATACCAAGCAAAGCTCATAAATATGGTATAAAGTTTTATGAACTGTGTACAAAAGATGGGTTTATATTGGATATTTTGATATATAAAGGCAAAGGTACAGTTGAAGACAGTAGAGGTGTAACATTTGGAATTGTTGCTAAGCTTATGGAGCCATACTTAGGAAAAGGTCATACAGTATATATGGACAACTTTTACAATAGTGTACCTTTAGCTCAATTTTTATTTGAAAATCAAACTAAGGTTGTTGGTACATTGAGAAAAAACAGAAAAGATAATCCCAAAGATACTTTGAATGCTAAATTGGGCAAAGGTGAAGTAGCTCATGTCCAGAAAGGCAATATACACGTAATTAAGTATAATGATAAAAGAGATGTGTGCATGATTTCTACCAAACAGAAACTGGACTTTGTAGAATTCACAGACAGATTTGGACGGAAAAAAATGAAACCTAATATTATTGTTGATTACAATAATAATATGTCTGGTATTGACAGGGCTGATCAAATGATCAGCTACTATCCTACACCTAGAAAATGTTTACGATGGTATATAAAAGTTTTTTTTCACCTCATGGATATGTGCTTATGGAATGGAAATCTATTGTATAATAAGCACGTTAAAAATATGGCTCACTTAGAATTTAGAAAATGTGTTGCAAGTTGTCTTATTGGTATTTCATACAATCAACGAGTAGTTCATAATAAACCATCACAAAAAACGCATAATCTTATGAAAGTAAATATTAGAAAAAGATGTAGAGTTTGTCATCAGAATAAACTGCGAAAAAATACTGCTTTTGTTTGTGATACATGCAAGGATGATAAAGGGAATACAATCGGTTTATGTCCTGATCCTTGTTTTAAAATTTATCATTTATAATTAGCCGTTACTAAAATTTTTTTTAATTTGTTATAAAAAGTAGTTATGTAATTATTTTTTATTTTGAGATTTTTTTACTATAATAGTTCTTTGAAACTAAAATCTTTAACTCATTGTTATTTTTAAACGAAATTTTGTTTTACTTTATAATATTGTTAAACTTTGGTTGTTCGTTCGTGATAATTTTGTTTTTATTACATTTCATAAATATTTAAAATTTGTTTGGTAAAAATATGTTGTTATTACTTTTGATTTTAATAACAAATGGACTTATGCATACCTAAAATGTGTTAATTTTGTTATTACAAGAAGTAATTTGTTTAATTTTTTTATTACAAGAAGTAATTTGTTTAATTTTTTTATTACAAGAAGTAATTTGTTTAATTTTTTTATAAATTTTGTTAATACATTGAAGTTGAGTTTTTATTATTAAGTTTAACATTTGTTAATTTTGGTGTTTTTTATAAATATAATTTTGACTTTATTTTATTGAATCATTTTTTTTTGCGTTAATTTATTGGAGATGATTTTCGTATAATTTTTTTGTCTAAAAACTTATTCACCAAAAAAAATACCTATTATAATATTATGCGATGGTGATTACTGATTTTTCTATAGATAAATAATTATGTCTCATATGTGTGACATCAGGTTTCTGTAAAGGATAATCATTGAAAAAACCTGATGTCACACATATGTGACATGTCCTTAATATCCGAAAATACTTTATAAACAATATTATAAAATATGTTACCATGAGATACTATGAGTTCATAATTAATTAAAAGCCATTTTATGAGATGGTTTATATAAAGACCACTCAAATTTACCCCTTGGTCGTGAACGTGTTAAACAATTCATAACTAATCAGTAATCAATCAATCATCAGCTATCACCAATAATTGTACCTACCTAGTTAGATAATTTTTTAAGTAATGTAATAATATACTAAAACCCAATTTATAATTGAACGAAAGGGTTTTTTTAATTTATATCTTAACTATAAAAATAAACGAATTTCTTACTTCTGAATTCAACTATTATTTTCACCAACTAATTTCGGAAACTCAAGTATTTTCTAACTTTCTTAGTTTTATATTAAAGTAATTTACTTTAACTATTGTTGAAAAGTATCCCTCACATGCCCAGCTTTAATATTAATACAAGTATATTTATTTTTATTTTAGTGAATATAAGTGATTGAGTTTTAGAATATTATTTTACACTATATAGCTGACTCTCAATAAAACAAACAAAAAATTCTCGATTCGTGAGTCAGCTGAATAAATAATGATGATGTTACACGAGTAAATAAGAATAAAGTCTATGATTATTACGTAGTTACGTGTTTGAAATTGTTTACTTGAATTATTGACTATTGCTTGTATATATGCACGCACGTATATAAAAGTTATTAGCTGTTGCCTGTTGTCGTTATAATTATATAAGCATTATAACTTGATATAGGTTGGGTACTTGGGTTTTAACTTTTAATACCTAAAATATAATTGGGTTACGACGTTAGGTTAATAAGCCCATAAAGTATTAAGTTAACCAAAAATGTGCTGAAGAAAATTAGCTTCATTCATTTTAGACGAAAAATTAATGTGAAAAACGGCCAAATTTAGTCAAAGAGAAATACCCGTCGGAAATTGTAATATTTTATAATAATTAATCTAATACCTATATTATATTCACATGGCGATGGTCCTCAAGTTGATTGACCCAACCGCCACGTGTTGGATTAATGACCTTTGGGAAATACACAAACGATACAGTCCTAAGCTAGTTAGGCTTATATATATTATAAATTATAATACTATTCTGTATATTATGTATACCTCCTCCCTTCCAGCCCGTATTATATCCAACACATGATTTATATCATAATATATAAAACACTTATTTCAGAAAATGTTACAGAGACGGTAATATTATTACATAATCGTGGCTTATTAATTATTATATTCCAATAGCTGCAGGATAATTGTTTTACCATGAATTCTATTATTTCCGAAGTGAAGGAATAAGGAAATACTAAATACGCGTCATACACATTTCATATTATAACCATCAAATTAAATTTTAAATTAATTTCAAAATATAACTAGATGTCTACATAATATAACCGCAGGTACCTATATTATATTATTTTGGTTGTAAACAATTTTATACGCTAATATACTTCGATTTCCTGTTGAGTATTTTCTGTAAATTTGCCAAGTATTAAATTATCATAAAACTTCTTTTTCTACTACACGTATAATACTCAGAAATTCAATTATTTTTCTTTTTAGTAATATATAAATTGAGTTAAACAAAGGTATTTTGAGAGCAATCCAAAAAATATGCGCTAAAATCAATTAAAATAAATGTTTAGACAAATATAAATATACTTGATATTGATTTGTTTAAAATTCAAACATTAGGTCCCCGTGGCTAGGGCACAAACAAGTCATGAGGTGTTGCTTTAGGGCGGCATACAATTTTAAAGAAACTGAAAGTGGAAAAATTCAATAAATATCGGTAAAGAATAGCGGCATTAAAATATTTGGTTTAGGGCGGAAAATATCTGACGACGGGCCTGCATCCACAATAGATTAGCCTCTCTTGATATACGTTTTTAAGAACAAGGTTTGTGCGAGTACTTTTACCATTCCTACCCTTCTTTAACAATAACGTTCAAACTTTTGCTATACGCGAGTACTTGAGTTATGTCACAACATTCAACCATAGTAATCCAAGGAATTCGTGTAGTTATTCCGAATACTCTGATGAGTTTGATGTCACAAACTTATAGTGAGTCTCTGTATTTTCTTAGCTTCTATACAATATATTATGTTCCGTTAAAATGTTCTCAAAATATTTGTGTTCTATAACGTCAGTCATGGTGAACGCCGCAAGCACTTCCGCAGTACCACCTATTTTGAAACGTATACAATTATAAACACAATGTATAGGTATATTGCATACAACCTACACTATTAGGGAATACATCGCTAGCCAAGATAATACTATAATAGTCGCATTGACATAATTTATATTATTAACAATAATTAAGCATATATTTAGAGCCAGGATTATTTTATAATATTTTTTAGAGGGTATATGATATCAGTTTAAAAAAGAATTCTATAGTGCTACATTTTCTTATTTGTCAAGGCCATTCGATCCTCTTCGCAAACATGAAGTATTTTTTTATTTTAATAATACTATATTTTATTTATCCACATTAGGTATATTAAAACTGTCCATTGTTGTTATATTAATAATAGAAAAATTTATACAATTATATGGAAGCTAGGAACCCAGGTTGTTAAAAAAAATCTTGGCTGATTCTCTGGTTTCAATTAACTCAGTTTTAAAAATAATAAACCTATAATTTACTATCTGCTGCCCGGACTGATTATCAAACTGATAACTTCAAACAATTAATTTGAAAAATATTTTAATAAATACCATAGTATTATAACTGTACCATAATAACTGAAAGCGTACCCACGGTATTATTTTTCATAAAAAAAAAAAAAATTCTTTTCACGTTTATATAGGTACGGAATCTGCACGGTGGACGAGTGCGCCAAGGAACGCCGCCTGACCGATTCGTCGTCATCGTTACTGCAGCGGTCAAGTTCGGCAGTCTCACTCGCCAGGTGGACCGACGGACAGTGTTACGAACTGGGCACGCGGGGCCCGTGCACCAGCCAAGAGCAGTTCGCAGTACTCCGTGCCACGATGAGGCCGGATTGTGTCAGGCTGTCCATCGAGCTAACAGTATTACCCAAGACCACGGACCGTCCTGGGTGCAAGACCGACCACTGGGGAAATTGCGAGGAAGGGGTAGAAGTGTCGACGACGCCGAACGAACTTAAAGACGCATTGCTTAAGAATGCCAAAAAGTTCAATCAAAGGGCTCAAGTAAGGCGAGCTAGCATGCTCGAGGTACGTCGCCATCTGTTGCAGTGGTAGCCATCGCGTATGGGTTATACCTATTGACCAAGCTTGGTGTAAATAGGTGCTTAAGATTTTCAGAAGTGGTAGGAGGGAGTTGGAGATTAAGTGTGACAATAATGGCCGTTGGATAAAAAAGTATTTTCTACTAGATATATTATGCGACAAAAAAAAAAATTATTTATTTATCTAATAATAATTACAGACTTTTTTATACAGAACACAAATTAATTAATACTACATTTACATAAAAACAACTCCACTTATTAATAGTCTTCTATTTATGTTATGGCAGAGTCGGCCTTAGATAGGGGCCAGTGGGGCCTGTGCCTTGGGCCTCGCACATTTGTATGACATTTCGGGCTTCACATTATAATATACCTACAAAAAAAGCCCCAGGCCTCGCTCCACCTTAAGGCTGGCTCTGTGTTGTCTACTGTGGTATAATCCTAACCTATTCCTTCTAAAAATAACGGTGCATAGGTTTACAATTTTGTACATTTGTACCTATATTATGATTTCCTGCGCCCGCAATAAGCGTCCATGTCAGACGAGCGTGATGGTGACGTTGCTTGCTGTTGGCAAATGTTTGGGACTCGGGACCACCAATAATATTAAAATGAACCTATTCTACGAAATATGCTATGATATTATATATTTATATATAATATAAATATATATATCCAATGATTTCAGACTTGAGTTTTGTCGCTAATATTATGATTGAAATCTCGCATGTTCCACTATTTTCTACATCCTATAGCATAAGTGTCGTATGCAAACTCAGTCTATTTAGTTAGGTAATAATAGCGATCTATAGGTTGTAACAGAAAGAACTGACTTTTGGAATAACTTTTGTTCTTATCATTATTTTAACATTTTTTTTTTATATAATTTATAGCCATTTGCGCTACGCGTGTATTTAAAAAAAAAAATTTATTTTGTAATACTGAATATAAACAAATTTAAATTTGGCTTAAATTTTTTTGAATAAATTCAAAATAGCCAATTTGTGAATCTGATTATAAGAACAATTTGGATGGTAAAAACATTTATATAAGTCGAAAAGTTTATTTTTTAGAATTTTTAAAATATCAATATTTTTTTGATTAAATTAATTTGGAACGCAATAACTTTTTTAAAATTATTATTTTTGGAAATTTGTGAACATATTCTTAAAGTTCCTTCTGTTACTTACACCTTGTATATACTCTATAGACTATAATTAGTTGACACCGAACGCGATACTATTCAACACTTTATCATTGTGCTGCTGTGCGCTACCCTCGATCCTTTATATTGTCGTCTATCATAGAATATTATTGACTAAGAAAGCTGTAAAACTATAACAAAATAAAATTATACGCGTTGTAAACTGGTGACTTTTTACTATTATATATAAGATACCCCTTCTGTCACGCATGTTTGGTATATTTATTAATCTATGCACAGTGGTAAAGTGTGATTTTATGAACACCATGGCTATATTATCTTGAAAGATTTATGCGATTTCATTAATGCGATTGGGTTTTCTCATTTTAAAAAATAAGTAGGTAGGTACCTACGAATATTTAGTCATTTTTACTTTTTAGTATAATTAGTATAATATTAGTATAAATTTATACTTTTCCATGATTTTTTTTAAATTTTATTTATCTATATATTCTACATCTTTAGACCTTTTTCTATTATTAGTTACACAAGGAAATTGTATAAATGTTTTACAAATATAAATTTAGTTAAAAAAATAAACAAATTCAAAATAACTGGCATTAGCATATTATTATTATTATTATTATTATTAATATTATTACTAAGTTTTTCTATTCGTTAAAATAAAAATGTTCAACTCGTTACTTAAATCATCCTCCGTATACAATAATTTATACATCTATACATATTTTATAATGTTATAAAAGTAAAAGCATATTGTCTAATTGTTACCTCATATAATTATATTATGTCATTTATATTTATAGGTATTATGCATAATACAAATAGAACTGGACGATATCTGGTTATTATTACAAAAGTATAGATTTAATAACATGTGTCACACGAGTACACGACACACAGATAAATATAGCAAATAATTCGCATATTTCTTCTAAATATTTTTATATGACGATTTATTAACCATGTTTTTTTCGTGTATAACTTATAAATATTATATTTAATAAATAAATTGAAATATACCTATAGTTTTTTAAAATATTATTCTAATACTTTATACTTGATTTTTTATAATTGTATCTACGATCTACTATATGGTCTTATACAATCGAATTTGTTCGTAAAAACTTTGTTCGCAGGGTATACGGCTGATAAAATGTGCCCCCTCCGCCATGATATAAATGCTCTTAAAATGAATACACATGGCAGGACTAGATACAACAACCCCGGCGCACTCCCCTCCAAATCCCTAAAAATAGGTTTGTATTATGTATAATATTATGTAATATATTGGATCCAATTTTTTCTTTTATAATATATTCCTGGTGCCCAACATACTTTTTGTTGCTTTAAGGTTTACGTATTATGATACAATTTAGGCAGCTTAGTCGTAAGTATAAACACAATTTTGCAACCCCCCCATAAAAGATTTCTGGATCCACCCCTGGTACATGCTAAAGCATCATAAACATATAGATATTACTTCTTATTAGAAAATAATAAGTTTTTCATATTTTTTTTTTTTTACTGTAAATGATTGAATTATTGACCTTAACAATATGAACATAGTATATAATAATATTATACTGGATTTATTTACCTTTACTTAGCACACCAGTGCCATGACTAGAAGGGGAGTAAGGGCTTAAGCAACCCCCCCCCACCAGAAATATCAAATTGGAAATTCAGAAATTGTATATTATTATATTCGCCTATATTTGCCCTCTTCAATTTGTTCATAGCACTGTAGGATTAAAATTGGCCATACAGTTATGTATATTTTTATTCAATATTGGTTATTTATCATAATTTTCTATGATCAAATTTAATAAAAAAAATATATAATAATAGTATAAAAGCCACAACAATTGCCAAGAGTCCAGATTATTAGAATATTTCGTATTGATTCTAAAGACAATGTTGTTTGACCTTTTGCCAGAATTGTTCTGTTCTTTCTACATAAAAGTGACAATGCATTTTAGAGTCTAGTCGTCTTTATTACATTAAACAGTTTAAGGGTTTTGAGATGAATTTTAAAAGACATCTATAAATCAATCCAACAAATCTTAAAGCAACAATAATTATATTAATAATACATAGGTAGGTACAATAGGTTAGGTTAAACATTACCAATTAATAATAATGGTTAGCGAAATTATTTTATAGTTTATTCAATTTACAATTGAAAATATTATATTTTTAAATTACAATTATATGTTATGATAACAATAATTATTTAACAAATAGGTACATTATAGTGAACTAAAATGGTAAATCATTTGGTATGTAATTAATACATTTATAAACTACAATCAATAGATAATATTTTTAAATGGGGTGAATAATATTATATAGGTAACTCAAATCCAAATAATCCAATATAGTGAATATAGGTTTCAGTGGCATAGATATAATTTCTAAAAGGGGGGGATCAAAAAAAGAAAACGACATAGTTAAATGGGAGTGCAAAATCGGAAAATCCCCCACCCTCTCAAAACTTTTTACTTAGGAAGTAAAATATTTAACAATAAGGAACAATGAATAGAATTTGAATTGAATCAAAAATCACATCAAACACAGTTTGGAAGATTATCCACTCCAAAGCCAAAGGGAGCGGATCCGACCCCCCATGGGCCATGACCCCCTTGTATACGCCACTGATAGGTTTATAATTGTACAACTATGTGCCAACTACAAAGAGTATACATATATTATAGTAAATTATTTGTTATTACTTATTAGTTAATAGTATATTACCATAGGTAATACTCAAATACTTAAATTAAATAATATAAAAAATTATTATTTTGTTACATTTCTGGAAACTTTGTTTCCTAATTAAAAGTGTGCAAAAATATAAACTATATATTATAATATTTACTATTGTTATAAAATATACATAATATTGTATTACTTACAAATAGTTAGGTAATGTTAGGTTAAGTTTTAAAAATTATTCAATATCTATTAAAAATTTTAATTTATTTTTCAAGTATAATATATAGGTGCCTACCTAAATTAAAAATTAATATTGTGAACTAAACTGTGTATATTTAATTTTGTCAATTATTGATTTGGCATTATGTATTCAACATTTCAACACATAGGACGCTAATATGCTATAGGTACACCATAAATATAGGATAATACTCAATTTTCTTTATATTACTTACCTCTGATATTTCATAACATATTTTGTACTTGGTGAATAAATAAAATTATCTAGAAATGAATGTCTATATTTTTTTAACTCGCAAAATTACTATTACTTGATATAACAATTTTGTATTAATTGTTTGTAGAAGTTATTTTATAGTTTATTTTATAGTTATTTTAGTTATTTTAATAACACGTTTGTCGTTCAAATATAATATATTATTAATTGATGTGTAGTTTTTAATCTACTACAAATTAACGGAATTGTAGTCAATAGTACAATTAATATTATTATACGTAGGTACTCTATAGATTTATATAAATATACAGCCATTTAGGTAAATAGGTAATCCAAATATAATAATATCCACAGCTTATAAATCAAAATAATACGGTATGAGAACATTCAAGCATTTTTGTTTTCAAAAATATCTAATTTTAAACTATTATTTTTATTTTGGGATAAGTAATGTAAAGTCTCTTCTAACTGCCACACCCACTCTCAAAAAAATCTGGTAACTCCACCTGGTAAATGACTCGGTTGCGGTCGGCCGTCATTTGTGTGATTTGATTTGGCTTACGTACTTTATTACACGGTTGTCTACAACCGTAGACAACCGTGCTTTATAATAAGAGATTTATTTTACTTGTAATAAAAACTATTAAATATGTTTAGCTGACGTTTCCTACAAACGATAAGCGCTTGCTGTCGTGTTTATAAATTATTACAATAATATTAATGTTATAAAATATAATATATTATATTGTTAGATAGTCTAAAAGCTAAACAACAACAATAATAGTGATAATATATATTTTACACATAATAGTACGATATTGTTGATCGCGTAGTATTATTATTATTATTATTATAGCAATAGTATAATATTATAGTGGGACAGTAGTTGTATATACGATCGACAGCCGATTAAGTTACGATAACGTCAATAATAATAATAATAATAATAATAATATGCAATGTAAAAATAAAAACGTATCACCGTTGAACACTATCGTCTCTTGACAGAACCGTCTGGTCCCCCCACACCGCCCCGGTCAACGATGCAGTCAGACGTGGCAGACATCACGACGACAACCGCGACTGCCAAGGTCAACCCCTTCTCGTTTCTGCTCTCGCCCGATGGTCGCCCGCGACCCGCGGCCCACCACCCATTAACCAAGGGATTCGCATTTCGCCGAAGTCTTCATTTGGTCGCAAGGTCTCAGCTTGCGCACAGACCGACACCCGTTTTTTTGCTTTGGGCACCGTGCTTCTACAATTCCCTTTCTGCCATCCTATCAGACTATAAATTTCAATAAAAATCGTAATATTGTTATGGCCGACTTGCTGGTGGACATGGACTACGCCATAATGACCATCAACTCGCAGATAGTGTACAAGCCGACCAGCCAGAGGGATGACCCAGAGCCAGACAACGATCGCGAGGTCTACGTGGGAAACCTGCCGCAGCACTACACCATTGAGAAGTTCGTCAACTTCGCCAAGTAAGCATACAGCAACCAGATGGACGTTGTAGTATAGAGACGCTATGTTACACCAGGGAGACGTAAATCGTATTCGTATTTTGAGGAGTGCGAGTAGTTGAAAATCATTGTCGTTCACTATACCTAGTTATGATTCAGTTGACCTCCCACACCTCCGGGGGGGGGAAAATACGATTTGCATTCTATCCAAGATTAATAAGTATTTAATAACGTGTTATGATTTTTCTTTGCAAAAATAAAAAAACTATCTGCTGGAATAAAATATAATCTGTTGGACGTACGATGCATACGAGTACAATATTGTACCCCTAACCAGTCCCGTTCCCATATGTGATTGAATTCCAAGGACTAAGGAGATATCACCGTTGAGCATATGACCAAATATGACCTCATACATCAGCTGATGTATAGCACCATATAATATCGCTTTTTGTTACTATTGGAATTGAACTTTTATTCAATGAAATTATGGATGAATTCTGGTTTTTTTTTGCACTTAAACGATGCGAAATCTCGCTGCAATATTCTTTTATTATTGACTATTAAAGTAATAATAAAACAATAATTATATATTTTTTTTTATCGTTATTCAGTTATTGTTACCTAATACGACCAAGTATCCAAATTTTTCACCCGAAAATCATGATACTTATATTTAATTGAGTATTGTAATTTGTATTGTCATATATCAATACCAATACTTTCCAGTATCCACACAAAAATATGTTACTATTTAAACCTATAATATCTATAAGTTGCAGACACACCCAAATAAGTTACTTTACAACAGTGATTCTTAACCAGTGTTCTGTGGACTTAGAACACGTGTTCGGCCAACATTTTAAAATCAGTGGAAAAATTATAAAATTGTGAAATTTATAGATTCTGAGAGGAGAGTGTGGAAGCCAGTGGCTTTACAATACCTAGTGTTTATTTATTTATTTATTTTTGTCTTGTATAGGTACAAAATTTCTACCAAAAGTAGTGCTTCGATTTCAAAATATCTGTATCTTTTCTCTTAGCAAATTGGATGAAGATGGTACTTTAGACTTTAGAGAGATCATTTGGTCATTTAGATTGGATTATTGATTTTTTCAATTGTTATTTAATGCCACGGGAAAAACCACAGACACGTCATTACGAAAAACCGCTATAACCGGAATTTTAATTTCTAACGCCTTGTTTATCAACATAAAAACGAATAAAAAAAAAATAATATTATAATATTAATTCAACTTGCAGGCTATAATAAATAATAACAATATAAAATATCCAGACTGGTAAACCGTCTCCGCTCAGAATCGTTTTTCTTATACAAACATTGAATTCGAGTTTAATACAATCCATTATACATTGATCCACTTGTAACCTACTGTACAGCAGGGCGAAATCCACTATCCCCTTTTTTAAGTTGTATTTATTGTATTTTATTATTATTTAGTGACTAATATGTACGAGTATGTAAACTGTTTTGTGCTAATATATGCGCTATATGCATTGTGTAATATATTTTAAAATTAAAAACATACCTATTTAAGTACTGTTTTATCTTACGGTTGTGTTCCGTGGAAATTCAAAATATTATAAAATGTGATTAAAAAAAGGCTAAGAATCACTGGTTTCTCAATAGATGAGGAGTGTGTAGGGCATAGCCTCGTGGCTTTGCTTCCTCTAAAAAATCTTGTGTGCTTAAGCCCCCCTAATTTTTGGGTGATTTGCAAGCCCGGAATAAGAGGGGGTACGGTCCCGGGGCCCATTGATTTTGGGGGCCCATCTTTATCCCCGAAATATATTTTTTTAACTCGTCCAATACAGTTTAAAAAAAAAAATACTTAGTAGGTAGGTACCTATATATAGTAGATAAATTATTATTAATAATTATAAAATAAAATTGTTCCAAATTTTATATCACGAAAAATTACTATAAATAATGAACTATGTTTGACAACAATTTTGTTTTTTTGTTTTTTTTTTGATTGTTTTAGATTACCGATTTAACTATTTAAGTATATAAAAAGGTAGTTATAAGAAGAAATTATTTAGCTCTTGTAAATTAGTATTTTAATTAGTATTTCAGTCAACAATATTAATACATATTATACTGAACTTTAGAGGACCATAGTTAATAACCTAGGGTACCAAAATTGATCATTTGACTGTCAAAATGTTCAGAAAAAACGCTTCACCAGAATCCATCAAAAAATATAGTGGTTACCATTTGAAAAAATTATGTCAATTTTATTGGTACAACTGCGTGTTTAAAAATGTTTACAATGTTATAAAAAAAGTCCCTGTTAAAAATAAAGAAACACGTCTTTTTTGTTTTAACGAAATTCCATATCATTGATCCATAATTGTTTGAAAAAAACCCACGTACAAAGATATAAGATACAGCCTGTATATTTTTTGCATAGGTAGTAAAAAATTATACAATATTATATAAAGTCGTTACTTAATATGTAATGACACAATTATTTTGAAGATCAAGTTTAAAGGGGGCCACTAAGTGTATGGTGTCTCGGAGGGCGGGGCCCAATTGATCCTTAATCCGGGCTTGGTGATTTGCACCTATCAATACTATGTATGTAGATTCAGATAATTAAACAGTCAAACAGAGTATAGGTAGGTTAAATCCCTATTATAATTAGTTAATTAGGTACATTTTAACATTATATTCAATCAATTTGTATACGATTATAGTCTATAGAAATTAAGATTATATTATCTTTATGAAAACTCCAACATATATTTGATACATTTTAATTTTAACTGAAAATTGTACTAATAAATTCATTTTTCATTAAGCATAGAAAACTGTACGATAAAGACTTTTATATTTTGGTAAAATTATATTAACATATTATAATCGAGTACGGGAGTAACTTAAGATCATTCTATCGGTAGTTGTAATATTTGAAAGTGTATAAATTATAACGGTATTATTAGTCAACTGTTCATCTTACAAACGTACAACACTGAAAATTTTACGTTCACAATAATTGATTTTACTCAGTAATTTCTAAAACTATAGTGAAATTACCTCTTATAAAGTTTAAATGTAACTACCTAATGTAAGATTGTTATCAAGGGCATCTTAGACGGGCTTTTTTTTATGTTTTAATTTTAAAGCGAGTTACGAGTATTTTAAGATGTGCAAACAATTTACAATTTTAAAATACTATTATAACTCGCTTTAAAATTAAAAAATAATAAAATGCCTATGAGATATTGAAATGCCCTAGAATCTATATAATCTTACCTTTAAATTTTAAAAGAGGTTTTTCACTCTAATTTTAGAAGTTACACAGTATCGGTAAAATATATTATTGTGAACATAAAATTTGCCATGTTTTACGTTTGTAAGACGGATACAAGTATACAACGCGTCATGCTGTTAAAAACATATTTAAACTCAAAACTATGTATCAACTTCTTTTATATTTCAGAAAGTGTGGTTCAATTTACAGTGTGCGACTACTGAAAGGCAGTGGAGGTTTAAATAAAGGTTTTGGCTATATAATGTATAGAAGTTTAGCTGCAGTTGACATTGCTATTGACACGTACAACGGAACATTCCTGCCAGAAAGTGATACTAATAAGCCACTGATTGTACAAAAAAGCCTGCGTAACACAATTATGATGATCTATGGACTATCAAGGGGAAATAATAATAAATATTACATCAGAACTGTAGGAATTTAATATTATTAACTAGAAATATACATAATTTGTAAATTAATACCTACTTATTTATATTATAGGAAATTAACTATTTTGTGATCAATCATCCATCACTGTTACTAAAGTTTGAATGTGAAGATGATTCAAAGTTATTCATATCTTTTAAATCATTAAAGTAAAGTATAATAAATTAATTTTAGACAGTTTAAATGTAATTAACACATGTTTTTTTTTTTTATTAAATTTAGAGCAGCACAAATTTTTAAAAAAAAACTCAAAGATACGTTTAATATGTATGGAGCTAAAATGTACTATTTTAACGATACAGAAAATTGGGTAAGTAATCAATTAAGAATTAATAAGAATTAATAGTTATATTTTAGTTTAATAGATGCTTGAATTTACATAAATAGAAAGTTGCTTAAATGAATGTTTATTTTACTATACTTTATTCACAAATATAATTCGCACCACTGAAAGAATAATGACACAACTCAAAAATACGTTTTTTGAGTTATTACCATCAAAATTTGCAGAATTTCATCCTTTATATTTTAGTATGTTAGACATTTTTTATTTATACAATAATATTTAAGACAGTATATGAGCTCAAATTTCTTTATTTCTGCTTAAAATAAAATATAGTTTATTAGTTTCCTGGTTTCCAACTGGAATATCTACACTTAGATGTGACTTTATTCTGGCCTGACTAATGTTGTTAATGTGTACACAATATTTTTCTAGCTGGAATAAAGCGAAATATCTCAAAAGTAACAGTTATACATGGGAAAATTATTTAAATTTTATTCATATAATATTATTGTACCTATTATAAGAATAACTATACCTAGTAGTTTTATCAATATTATAATATAAATATTATTAAGTTCAAGATCAAAGCACCTTGTTGTTAAATATTATAATATGTTGTATTAATAAATATTATCTCAAAAGTACTACCCAACATTTTTTTTAAGTACCTACCTAAAATGTATTTTGTATTGAAAACATGCAATAATAACAAATATTTACATACCGGTACCTATTATTTTGTATCTAAGAGTTATTGATCTTAAATGTTATAAATAATATTATTATTACCTACAAATTTAATTTAATTTTATGTGGCATATTTTTTTTCCAAGTAGAAATAATGGCACAAGTCAAACTTAAATCAGATTTGAAATAAAACAATAAGGGGAAATGGTACTTAATTTATTATTTTAAGCATCGCACATGTAAACTATATAATATTAAGAATGATATAAGATTGAAAAAAGAAAAATTAATTAATAATCCTATTTATAGTGAGTAAATTACATAGTGAAACATTAAGTCATTTTCCAACATTTTGATATTTTGATTTGTGTCACTATTATTTTTAGGAGTGCGAATTATAAACTGATATCAAATAAAAAGTTATAACAATTAAGAAATAAATAATAGTAAATTGCCTTGTAAGTACTAGGTAGTTAATCACTAACCAAAGTAGTACATATAACCAATTTTAGATACCTAGTTATTATTTGTGTTTAATTAGCTTTATACTTCCATTTGAACAATATTTATTAGGTACCTATATTATAATTAATTTGCCTGCCTATACTTATATTTAAATAATATTAGTATATCAACAATATTTGTACGGTGTACATAGTAGATAATTGAATAATTTATATGCCCTACATTCTACAATGTATGCACATTTAAAATTAAATTAAAACATTTAAGATTTAGAACTTTGAATTAATTGTTTCCAAATATGCATTTAATTGGCATACCTACCTAACTAAAAATATTTCAATGTGACTTAAACATTTCTGGAGTTATAGTTATAGCATTATTATTGAATTATTCAATAGCAATTGTATTTTATTCCATAGGGCCTACTGGCTACTAACTCTTATAATTTCTGATTTTATTAGATAAGAGATAAGTTTTTAAATAGGTAGGTATTAAAAAAAATGTATATTTTTGATAGGTCAAAAAATATTTCAAATTATTGTTATTAAGTACCTACCTAGGTATCATATTAAAAGAAATATTATCATAATTCATTTGAACAAAATAATCTATAAACTTTGTTGTTAGTAGTTTGTAGGCTTTCTTCTTTCTTTTATATAGGTAGGTACCTACTTAAATATTTTGACTAAGAACTTTTTTATACATAGACAGAGTTTAATCAAAATCAGTCTCGAAAAATGTGGACCTGATAGTCTTATATTTTAGGTTAAGACTTGGGATCAATATATTTCTTCATTTTAATTTTTGGCTGTGGCTAAAATACAAGAAACTAAATATTTTAACTACACAAATAGCTTATAAATAATATATAGGTGTAATTAAATTAATAGGTAGGTAGGTTTAGTAAGTTACCTAACCTATGTAGAAACTCTATTTGTGCCTAGTACCTAGGTTGGTTTTTTTTTTTTAATTCTATTTTATTTGTAAATTTATACAGGTATAGATATAATGTAAAATTAACTTTAAACAAAACTGTAATAGAAGGTTAACTATACAACAATGTTTATTATAATTCAATTATAATATTATAACAATACTTTTGCCAGTAGCAATATCCAAAACCTAGATAAAAATTAAATAAAAATATAAAATGAAACTGCTTAATGTAACAGTTTAATACACAATCTACACATCAACTTATGGTTCAATACACAACCTACAATTCAATATAAAATATATATTTCACTTATCTTTAAATTGATTTAAAAAATGCTCTATTCATCTACTCAGTACCCATTCAGATGTCGACAATAGCTAAATTGTAATTTATTTAGTTTTTTTTAGTACCCTACCTAAATAATTTATTTTTTGTCAGATGTTAGTCAGTCTTCAAAAAGGTTTTGGGATTTATAGGTAACAGAAACTCCACCAACCTTCTCGAAGTTGTGTACCTAGTAAAGAAGATGTCCCGTTTTCTTTTTAAATATTATACTTAGTTTTTATTTTAATTACATTTTTATAATTGGTAATTATCAACATTACAAAAATTGACTTAATATTTAAATATTTATTATTTAATTTCATTGTTTGACATTATCACTATAAATATATAGTTAATTGCCTCTTAATAATAGGTACATATTGCATACATTTATACATGCTATCACTATAATTTACTACTAGAATAAATCAATTATCATTCATAATACAGTAGTTTTCAAGTTAAATTATTGTACGTGGTTTTCGATTAGAGTTTCTACTTTCTAATAGAAACTTGAAAAGTTGAAACCTACTCAATACCTACCAAGTCAATAGTACTATATACAAATCAGTTAGTAGGTAGTACTGTAGTAAGTACCTACACACTACATAGGAATGTAGGTACTAGGTACTAAGTACTAACTACTAGGCATAGACATATTAACTTAGTTTATAGGTCTATGGTACTAGGTAATTGGACTTCATGTCTATGAAAATATCACTGATAATATATTTAATATTATATAATGATATCTTAAAAATTATTTTTAATTTTTAAAGGCTAATCAGTAATCACGAATTAAGTATAATTTTATTTTAAATTGTGAATGGCTCATAGAATGGTGAGGGCGTGAGGCTAATAAAAAAATCATGATAAGAAATAATTATATTATTTAAATTACTGATTATAGATAACTCTTATCATCATCCGCTGTTTAAGCACGTTTTTATTATAATTCGATAATTTTCATTTTCTACTTATCTAGTTTTCTACCTACATAGTTATATCATATTTCATTCTTGTTTCGACCTTAATTTTTTTAATAATCATTAATCTTCATTGTGTTATTGTTTTTTTCGATTTAAGCTTATAGTTTAATTTAGATTATTCTATTTGAACCATGTCTAACTCTGTATATGATACCTATGTGTCTCCTCTTTCGACAAGATATGCGTCGACAGAAATGAAATTCAATTTTAGTGACAGGAAAAAATTTACTACATGGAGAAGCCTTTGGACTTTACTAGCCCAAGCTGAACAGGTAAATTTTATATTTTATTTACCGTGTCAGAACATTCTGGTTACAAACACATTGTTCAAAATTGTAAAATATAATATCAGAAATAGCTCGGTATTTATACCTATTTGTAGGTACCTATTCTTCTTTATATATATAATATATAAATAACACAATTTAATTTATCATCAATTGCCACTTGGGAAATTTTGTTTATCTGTATGGTGCCTGTACGATTTACTGTAGGTACAGATTCATAGTTTATTGTATAGGTCTTTCAGGTGTTGTTACTTATACAAAATGTAAATCTTACCTCATACGTAGGTAGGTATATAATTAGTAATGACCATAAGATAGACAATATATTATTGTCAATTTTTATTATAGCTTAATACCTATCTAGAGAATTAAGCTATATTCTGTCCTTTTCTATCTTAGATGCTAAGTGTAACAATGAATGTACCTACTGATTTTGCAATGTGTGTATTCTGGAGACACTTTTTCTAGTAGGAAAAAATCCCTGAAAAAATGCTCTGATCATCAAATATGATAGAGCCCAGATAGAGGTTTCCTTAAGGTTTTATTTATTAAAATTGTAATATGATAAATTGTTTGGTAACTTTGATAACCAACAATTTAGACACTGATAATTTTAAGACAATAGGTATGCAAATGCGATTGGATTTTTACAAAAATTCAACATTTCAACCTACCTATTATTACTAATAGGAATATTAATATAGGTAATATAAATTATCAGGCTGACACACAGTCCACGCTCAGAATTGTTTTTTGTATACCAGTGGTTGGCAACCTTTTTGGACTCTGACGCCACATTCAAAAATTAAAATAAGTTTTGCGCCCGGTTTTGCTGGTCGTGTCTGATAAAAAATAAAATCTTTTAAAAAATAATGGCTGTATGGTATAGTTGCATAGGCTGCCGGTTGTTGACCACTTTTATACACAATGATATATCCATGGCTTAAATATACAAGGTTATTGCAATAGTACCCCCACTATATCATTTTATCACGTTAAGGAATTAAAATGGCAGCTTTAGGAGACGACGTATACTGGCTATACTATGATATTATATGCATGATATGGACTGTACCCTTACACTGCCATTTTCTTTTTGTTTGATAACATTATGGGCTATGTGCAATAACCTTGTATATTTAAACCATGGATATATCATTGAATTTAAATTTAACACACCAACAACACCACTTGACAGTTGACACCTACTGTACAACAGAGCGTTACCCACTGGTCAATCTTTAATATACATTGATTTTGACTGTCTTAATTTCCTGTTGGTATACCAAATTTGATGTTGATTTCCTTTAACCACTACTTCAACTGTTAAGTTAAGTTATGCTAATCTGACCTGTATAAACAAAATATTGTATTGTTCAAATAGGTAGTTGTTTATGTAAGTAGATGCTTATTGAAAATTTGATTAGAATTTCACTAACACAAAATTAATATTTATAGAAGTATAGATGAACATTTTACTGGTGTAGCTATAGCATGGTAGTAGTGACTAGTGAAAGACTATGTAAGCATATATTATTGTTGTCTAGATGTACCTTCTTGGTAATAAAACAATTCTCGTTTTTAAATTTTCAATTGAAGGAAAGGTGGGAAGATTTAAAGAAGAATATTTCAATAAACCCACATGGTAACCGAGTGCGATTTGTTCCCATTATTCCTAACAACAGTAATCAACGTATTAATGTATTTCCACCAACTTCATCCAAAAGCCTATTGTTTAAACCTTTTAAACCGAATCATACAAACGATTGTCCCAGCAAAGAAAATGTTAACTTGGCGCCACATAAAAATAATGACAAGAAATATAACAATTTTGCGTCAGTTACGCATATGGAAACTACTCTTCAACCATCTAGATTTAATGTGAATAACCCTGTAAATAACCAAAAGATAGTTGGTCTACAATTTTCCCAGAAACAGCAAGAAGTAAAAAAACTTAATACATCAAATTCTGTTGTAGAAAATTGTAATATGAATGAATTAGAAAATAGCTTACCTAGATTACCATTGCACACTGTTTGGACTAATGACAACAGTTCAAAAGATTTTGGATGTACTTTACCAACAAAAATGCACACATTTAAAAAACCATTTTCGTCAAATTTAAATTATTTATCCACTACTAAACAGAGTACCAACTATATGCTAAATTCTAAATTCCAAAAACAATCTCAAGTAATACCGAACCCGATGAGCAAGATTAACAGTTCAAGGTACTTTAAATCGTCATATCCCTTATCCGCATCTTTAGGGCAAAAATTACATCCCATAGCCGAAAACATAAACACATCATGTTTTACTGTGGATAACGAAAAACCCTCTCCTGTCACCGGTCAAAACATCAATACATTAGAACAGTACTCAGGTTGTATTAACCAACCTTTTAACATGGATAATATTTGGAAAGATTATCAGTGTCAACCACCGAGAATGTGATATATATATAGGTACTTAAATTATATAAATAAAATCTCACATTCTTGTCGACAAATCGTTATCCTTCTCTGGAAGTAGTTTTAAATAATGTCAATACCATAATACATATAACCCTTCATTCTAAGATATGATTAAAAAAAATAATGATTTTATCAGCTTAGATGTGTAACATAAATATTCCATTAGTATTTAGACAATAAAATATAATTTGTCTGTGATATCTTGAGACACATATTAATGACATTTTGAAAAATAATTTTATTTTATATACCATAGATTAATTTTAGAAAATTGAAACACAGTGAAAAAATATAAAATAATATAATTTTTAACAATCATTGAATACATTATACAGAAATTCTTAACATATAATATATTTGTAAAAACCATTAATCTATAGAACATTCCAACAAATGGTTCCACTTAACTAAAGGAACTATCTTTAAACTTAAATGTCCCTCTAGGTTTTACATAACACATTCATTTTTATCTTTATTTAAATAATTAAAATGATTAATATGTTCAAAAATCAGGCCTTTTAAATTATAAAATTAATTTTTAATTACATATATCAAAGTTACAAATAAGGCATTATAATTATATATTATATAAATATATATATTTTTTTTAATTATATTTTTTTTATTAAGGTATAATATAATATAAGTATTTAGTGTGTTCTTTGACCAATTAATATTTGTGTGTAATGAAATTTTTTTTTTCTTTGATTATTTTATTATTATAATACTTTATGATGTTATATGTAATAAAAATGTTTATGAAATACTTGATATAAAATTGATAATTTATTTTAATATTAATAAAATATATTATGTCTATAAGTAGAAATATGCTTATGGAATTTGAATTAAAAATGCAGACCTACTGAGGTATTATTTTATTAAAACAAAAAATAACCGTGACATAGTGTGTAGCTGTGTAAGTAGGTATTTATATTATATAATATGTATAATAGTAACTTTATGTTTATTGAAGACACAAATACCAAATTACCTATATAATGATAATGATTGAATAAATAGTTAATAAAAAAAATATACCACTTACAAATATAGTTAACACGTATGACATACCTTAAAGTGTAAATAATATAGAAATGTACGCGGGTTAGATATAATAATGGGGTTATCACAAGGGTCAGGAAGTCAATACTCAATTGTATGTTTTTAGTTTATGTTGAATGGTCATTAAAATATCTAGATTAACTTGGTAAAAATTTGAATCATATAATACTAATATAATATAGGTATCTACAATTTAATCTTGTAGTTTTTAGGAAAATATTGATGACATTTTCGGTACCTTGTAAATTAAAATTCTAAGGTTACCAAGTTTTACCAAGTTACCAGTTTTGAAAGCTTATGATGGATTCATAGTTTAATTTTTCACAAAGCAAGTTGTACTTTTAATTATTGTTAGAACTATACTAGTGCTATAATAAGCTAGTTGATCACATTTAGACAAAATTCTCTATGAATACATAATGAAGTACAATTACAATAAATCAAAACTTTATGTAGGTACCTACCAAATGCCTTTGATATAACTATATGTATTTGATAATTGAGGTTGGTTTACAGATTGGTTTAAAATTTAAAAACAATTTTGTCATATAATTTCATAAATGTTTTTAGGCAGTACCTATCAGTGCATTAACTACTGTCTACTGGACCCTAGATATATTTATCGCATATAACATAATGTATAATGTATATTATAGATAGTATTATAATAATAATATGTATTACCTATTATCTGCAAACCGTAGAGTTGCTGGACTTAAAGTTACAATATTGGGTTCGTCATATATTATTATAGTAAAAAAAAGTGCAATTAACGTGAACAACTGTATATGATATAAAAAAAATAACCGTGGATTTTTGGTGGCATTTGACAAAAAGTTAAATAATTATCTTGAAAAGAAAACATGTTTCATAGAGCTGATTCTAGTTTATGTCCTGTGCCAGAGTATACGATGTAAAATAGGCACCACTCGCATACTTTTTTTGCGCGGTTTTATCCGTACCTGAACGTCAACACAAAGTCGGCTAAAAACGTGACGGACGTCAGCGTGGCTGTGACAGCCGAAGATATCATCAGGTCCATCCGGTTCTTGGACGGACGCACCTGGAGGGCAAACTGGAGCGCTCTCCAATCGGAGAATATGATGCCGGCGGCTATGGCCAGCATTACGCCGTACCAGCACGACACAATGAGACTCTAAAAATGAAAAAAAAAAAAATGTATAAGTATTAAATTAAACAATTTTTAGTATTAAAAAATAACAATAAAAAATGTTTTAATATATGGGTAGTACAAGCATCTGTAAATATATATGAAAACAATTTAAAAATATTTATTAGAACAAAAGTCTTCCAATTACACTCATTTGCCTAGTTTATCGCATCATTGGCAGCCGTAGTACAATATTATAATAATATAATGTGACCCTGCCAAAGTATACTTCCACGTAATAGATAATACTATAATAGTGCTAACTATGTGTGGGTGTTTGACGGAACTAAGCCCCCCGAATGTATTCTTCATAGCTTCCTAAATATATAACATTTGATAATAAGTCGCAACAAATTGGGTAAAAAAGACTGCAAATAAAATCTGCTATTCTAAATATTGCAAAATGTTTTCAATTAATTTAAAAATTACAGTACAATTAGAAATATATAATTTTAAAGATATAACTTTTGTATTAAAATAAAATTTAAATTAGTTGTTAAAAATACATGTAGAAATATTGTAAGTAGTAGTGTAATTTATATTTATTATAATTCACTTAAAAATATAATAACTTAGCAGAGGATTGGTTTTATGGGAAATGATTACACTGATTAATAAAGAAAAAATATGAAAGACACAGCCCCCCCCCCCAAAAAAAAAGAAGAATTTGTTCTCTTTAGGTGGCGTTCGGGTCTGGTTGTAATCTACGATTTATCTAGAATTCAATAAATTTAATCGTCACGTTCTCGTATTTTTTACATATTTTTTCTACCTATAAAATGTAAAAGTGCGCATACGTGAACCTATATTAGGTACATACAATGGTTAATGAAGAAATAATATTTTTAATTAAAATGAAACTGTTTTATTTTTTATAATTAATTTAAATTCTTTTAAATTATATTTAATACCTATGATTCTTATACCTATATTTAAAAATCAGTTAAATTTTTGTGTACCTATATAAATAAGTATTTTACATTTCTTATATCTACCTATTTGACTTTTGTTAGAAAATGTTATTTTACCAAAAAAATATATACAGATCCACCATCCACTATATATTTATAGGTATATAATACCTACCTATATTGTATTTTATACACTTGGCGTATGTGAATAAAATATCCCAAAAATCTGTTTGTTTGCGCACCCTTATATGCATAGTGCATACTCAGTACACGATCACCGATGTAATGAATGGTAACGGTGGACTTACCGGCTTTTTCGGTATCTTTTGTTGTAAGAAATGGCTGACCACTATGAGAAGGTCGACCAGGACGGCTCCGGATAGAGCCGAGTACACGAAACCCGCTCTGCCAGTGCTAGTGTGCAGCCTCGACGAGTATGGACTGATGATCAGACAGATGCTGGTCAAGCCCAGTATCTGAAACACAAGTAAAATCGTGAATTATGCTACCACCAATCATATTATAAACCCTAAAGGCGCCCATGATTGTTGTTAAAGTATAGATTTCGATCGGAGCGCCGTTATTGCTTTCCACTGGGTCCACATTTCATCACAGCAAAATATGATTTTTTCGAGTTCTATATAGTAGGAAATATAAAGTTGGTTCCCAGGGGGATACGTATTTTCATAATATTCATCTATGATTCACTGACTCGAAGCAGTCGAAGCCCGTCTGCATTTTAAAAGACCGCATACACTCGCTTGTTCCCATTTTGTTTTGTCGGTTATATTTTGCTTTCCTGGGAAACTATACCTATACTGTACAGATGGAAAATGACTTGTCCAAAGTGGATTTTCCATTTCCCTTCGATATTCCGAAATATATTTTATAAATAGGTTTCGCATGACCTATTTAATTTTTTTTCGATTAAATCAACTGTAGTTGTCAACGTTTTGATTCCTTTGCTCCACATCGAAATTACATAAGTGTTGTATGTTGTCAGTATACGGCGTAATTATACGAGTATATCTATCTACGTAGGTACATCATTATTTCGCATTAACGTCACACAATATGATCGCTTTGAAGCAATAATGACTTAAATCTTTTCGTCAAACTTTAAAATGTCCAATACATTATGTAAAATTATTTATATGGGGATAATGTAATAACGGCTGGCGCTGCCAGGCTGCCAGCTATATAATATATGACGTGCATATTATAATATACATTGAAATTATACTCACGATTTCCACAACTTTGATCAGGAACGGCGACGCGGCCAGTAGGGACTCTTTGAGTGATTTCTCGTTGGCCATGTTCGCGTGCCGACTACTGTAGACTGCCGACTGGTCTTGTTTGTTGCCGCTACAGACACGCTGCGTACTGCACCTCCACAGGGGCGCGAAACGACTTAATTGGAACAAATGGAACGCGACCGCCACTACTGAGCTGATCCGAATTTACTTATAAAAAAATAAAAACACCGCTCCCTACCGCCGGACGTGCCCGTTTTCTTCTTCGCGTTTTACTCTTGCTTGTGCTGTTTGGTTTTTTTACGTCGTATATTCCATATACATTTTATCGGCGGCTCAGGTCAATAATTAGCAGCGTATATACTTCTACATAGGTACCCCCACTGGCTTGTATGGCTAAGCCTTCGGCCGTGTATTTCAATAGACAAATAAATAAAACGATTAAAATATTATAATATATTAAACTGCAGCCCGACGTCGTGCCCCGTTCCCGTTTCGGTCTGTCTCGGGCTCGTCTGGGTGTGAACGTCGCCCGCCAAACGCTTTTCATATACCTATACCTATCATCCGGTCGAGTTTTCCCCGAGACGAATCGATCGGACTCGCTCACAGTACATAATATTGTATATCTAGGTCTGTGTGTACGCGTCGTGAACATATTTCCCGCCGCGAGATGTTTTCCTGCGACAGAGGTTGCGAGAAAACCAGAAAGCAGCAAAAACCCATTAAAACGTTATATTATTGTTTTGTTACCAAACAACATTATATAGGTACCAACTTCGCTGCCGCCTTCGAGCAACCCGCTAATAATTATTATCATTAATCGAATAGGCGGCGCCGCGAAATCGTCGATTAGTGGGATTGCGAAAAAATTTAAAACGATTAATTTGAAATTCACTGAATTTTTTTTATATAGTATACTAGTATACACTATATACACTTATCTTGACAAATTAATATAATAGAAATACTGATTGTATTTTATCTATTTTGCAGTTCCGACTTTAGTGCCCCGAACACTTAGGAAATTCCGCCCTCTTTTATAGGGATGGGGTGATTAGTGTTAGATAAATAACAATTATAAATAATGAATAAAAGTAAACACCTCGCACTTTTAATATCGTATACAAATTCAGAATTCTATATTATACTAATATAATGGTACCATTTAGGTAGGTATACTTAAGGTATATTTACTGCTTTCACACCACTTGAAATAGCCAATAACAATGATAAATATATTTAATTTTTTAATTTATTCCACCTACAAATGTAAAATACAATACATTCAAAAAAAAAAATATTTACAATGTATAGGTAATAATTTGTTGTTGGTATAGTTAGCTAAACATACAAAAAAGGCTAATCGAATATACAGACCCTAACGGCCTAACACCAGAAATTAGGGCAATTGCCAATTGCCCACCTTACTTTAAAGTTTTATATAATTTGGTCCAGCTATTTAGTCTTAGTATATTATGTTCTATACTGCACGCAGAGTCGTGTCTCTATTGTTTATTCAGCAGTCAAATAATTGTTTTTTTAATGATCACTATTGTAGAAGAACCGCTATTAATTATTATCCTATAAATTAAAATATATTTTTTTACTTCTCTAATCATAAAAATAAAATCTATTATTAATTTAAATTGTTCTGTAGTTTTTAAAGTTTAAGCAGGATGTGCCCATGTGGGTAGCAATATGGCTGGGCCACTAAATATCAGTATATCATTATTTATGAATTAAGTTTTATTATACCTGCCAACTTGAACATTAGGTAAATCAATTCCAAAAAGTAGGTATTAGGCCGTATAATATGCTTGTAGCTATAATAATATAATATATACATAAAATATATTAATATATTTAAATTGGTACATAATACATATGTATATGTAATAGGTAGTACTTAACTTAATAAAAAAGAACAAATATAAAATATGTTTTCTGGAGTATAGGCAGTTGACCTATATCTACATAATATTTTATTGAATTCACTTTTAACGTCAATAAAAACTTTTCGTTGGTTTTCATCGGATTTGTATTAGCCCCTTCCATGCTGCTATTGTCTAATGTCTATGTAGATTGTAGCAGGTATATATACTATATTCTGATTTTCTAATCGTTTTCGCCAATTATTTACCGTTTTTTCTTGTTTTCAATTATTATTGATGTTTTTTTTTCACTAGTTCAATTATTGCGTGAGAATTTCTTCGGTTTATTTTTCTACTACAACGTTCCGTCTGTTAATCGCTCGTTTATGTAAAGGAATATTATTCATTTGACTGTATAATATATATACATACATACATATATGCATATTGTATACATTGATAGTCATAATCTTTTTTCTAGTATCATCGTTATCGTTTTAATTTTTTGCCTGAATCGTGTGTGACGTATAAGTAACTCGGTTAAATATAAATAACATTATAGGCATTATAATGTATTTGCTTATCAAAATATGATGTGTATTGTGTATATTATATAGGTATCATAATAATTACTATGTAATGTATGTACTTACCTAATTCGTTAAAGTCCCTCAACAGCGTGTGCCTAGGTGTCTAATTGTTTAATATTTTTAATTATTCATAAAATAAATTATACCTATTCTATCCACAGATATAAAATACCTATTAAAATATTTTATATCTGTGATTCTATCAAATAAAAAATAACTTAATATTATCATAATATTGTTCTTTTGAACCTTCAGTAAGTTATTAAGGAACTCTAATGAATCAAAATGTAACATTTGGACACGAATTTATGAATTTATTAATAATGCTTCATAGATGTTATACTTACCTCTTGCACGGTGTGTAGGTGTATAAAGTATAATAATATAATTATAAGTTCAATATTATAATTATATGATTTATTTCAATCTATGTAACTCCTATGTAGTATGATTACGTCTAATATTATATATTATATAGTGACACCAGCTACACCGCATGTGTGTATTTAGGTAGGTGCTATATATATAATATAGTAATCATTAGTCGATAAATCCTTCATGTGCTTCAAAACATCTTTTACTATAATTATAATAACAATAATAATACATGTTATAAGCCTACTTTAGTATTCAAGCTCGTGAATATATATATATATATATATATATATTATACTATCCTGTGTTTGTATTACTCTGTACTCATATTCGATTTTTTTTTTATCTGCACCAATATAATATTATGTAAACAATAAAAATGGGTCTGCGTTCATCAGTTAATGATATCATACCTTGTATGTTATATTAGGTATATAGATGCATCAGGTATGTAGGTGTAATATATATATTATACTAAACTCGTTATTATTTTACAATCGTTTTATTTATTACCTGCGCTAATAAAAGGGTAACTTACGTTTGTGCTGTTACTTTAATTTTTTTAATTAGTTATTTCTAGAAATTCGTGAGGAAAAAATTTGAGATCTTACTTTTTTACTTCTTTTAAAAAATGTATTTTATAGACCATGCTCGGTGTCTATTAACCAGGTTCGAGACACTTGAATAAGTTTGACACATTATAACTATAGTGCCTATATTGTTTTTTCTTACAACTCATTACCAAATTAACTATAGGTAGGTATACCTACTTTTTTTTATAAGTACATTACCATCACCATAATTTACGCACGTTCATAAATAAACAATACCTTTTCAATGTTTCAATCATAACAATCGTATTAATAAGAAGTTTACGAAACTTTTGATTTCCATATCTACATTCTACAATATACACCTATCTAAATACAATATTTTTTGCTTTACACATTGTGTTTATTTTACACGATTGTTTTTTTAATATATTTGTTATAGCGGTGTTGAGGGCAATTTCCTCCGGTACTCCTTCCGGACCCATAGTCCTTGGCGTATATATATATTTATATTGTTTATTGTTAGGATCTATACCTACTCAGTGAAGCGTTAATTTCAAAACGATTTCCAGTAGTTGTTTTAACCTGAAATTTTTGTCTACATGATATTTTCTACTTTTATTGATTTTGTAGGTAATGTATAAGCTATTCATTAATAAGGTTTGGATTTGAGGGCAAAATCCTTTTTTTTAATAATAATAATAATAATAATAATAAAGAAATAATTTTTATATAGAAATGTGTGTCATTTTTATGTAAGATGATAAACTTTTTTTTTCGCCTGTTTTTGCCTTTTTTACATATAAAACCCTTTGTCGTGTTTAATTTTCAATTGATTTAATAGATTTTATACACGACATTATACTTATTAGCGGTACAAATCGATAAGATTTTCTGAAGACTGCATTGTCACCTGCAGTTAATTATTTTTAATGGGTTTTATTATCCACGATATTTATCGGTATCACTAAATACTTTATCGAGTAATTGGTATGGCCAGTTAATTTAACGTTTATAAAAGTTTCCATACTACCTATCTATATATTAAAATATGTTCATAATGCGTACCTATATACTATAGATTCAAAATTCTTCGTTAGTCCGCCCCGATAATACTTTCGTGGATGTAGAAAGATCAGTTTCTATGTATAAAAATAGTTTAAGCCTAAACCGTCAATGTTTTACTGAAGACAATTTATTCAAGTACATTGTAGTGATTTTTTTTTTTTAATAAACACTAGATAAATATACAATACACAAACTATTTAATTTTTTATTAAATTTTTTTTGTAATTTCTTTTTTAAATTTATTATATTGCCTTTAAATCCGAACGCTATGTTCATTGATTACCTAATATTTTATACTATTCACACCATTGTATATCTTAATATCTATACCAACTTAAGTACTATGATCGCTGTCTCCTCGATAACAAACGTAAGAAAAACTAACAAATGTCAATTTAAAACAAATATTGCAACACTAAGATTAAATACACGGTTTTTTTTTTAACAGGTATCGATACTTCTGTAAAAGTTTAATCAGTTTAATGTTTTCATACAGTGATCCTAACATTTTTTATGCGTTTGTTCAAAATCGGTGTTTCTGTGGTTAGAGCGTGATCAATTGAGTGTACATCGAAGACGGATAATAAGTATAATAAAAGGACATATATGATATTATATATGTATTAAAAAAATATTCAAATTAATTCTGTATTTAAATACAAACGATCGTTGGGTAATGTTTTGTACTTATACATGGTATTTAAATATACAATTATAACAAAACTAACTAACTATTAATATAACATATTATAATAATATTTATATTTACAAAACACTATTATGACTTATACATGGATGGAATGTCGTTAGGTGTAAATATAATGAGTAGAAAAAAAGTTAATTATTAGTTATTTGATATTATTTCACAAAGCGCATATTATATTATTTATATGTTTCAACGATTTTATAACACTGTGTTGTATTCACACACACACATGCATGTAGACTATCCGCTCGTGTGAACATTTCACGGTTCATTTTATCCTTTTTTCAATATATTATATTTATATTTTATACAGACAGATTTTCAGTGTATATATACATAATATAATTAATATAATATGCGGTTATTAATTGTGCACTCGAAGATCAAAACCGTCAAACTTATGTATAAAGTATAGCTATATATTTAAATTAACTTAAATTTTTCCACGGTCGCTCCTCTTAATCGAACTCCATTTCTCTGGCGAAATGTATAAACGACAGAACGGTGTCCACCAGGTAAATGGCACCGGAAAGAACGCACAGCACGCCCACCGTGATGCCTATGGCACGTTCGGAAGCTACGCTAATGTATTTGTTTTCGTTCTGATAACCAATCCAATAGTGGAGCGCTATGCCGCCGACGGCGATAAACATGAACATGCCGACGAAGTTCATTATTATATCCTAGTAAAAACATAAAAAAAAGTATATATGTAGTACAAAACGAATGGAAACAGCGAGTGGAATCCCTTTGATCGAAAAAAATAGACTTAGTTCTTTCTGGAATTCAATATTATTATATTGTATATTCTGTCTATATAGCTCCACTTTTTTATATTTATCAGTTTTTTTCTAATCATATTTTATTTTAAATATATACAATATGAAAGACGAAGTATGTTATAGCATTTCATAAAAATTTGTGATGACTTAAAGTTTAAATAGCAAATTCGTTCGTAGAACGCAATGTTAAATCTCAAGTCTGTATTTTTGTGGAAAATGGGAGAGGGAAATAAATAAATTAGTCATCATGGATAACCTATAAAGTACTAACAATTTGTCATTTTTTCTACAATTAATGTGTAATATATATATATATGTGCACTCACCACTAGCGTTTTCTTCTGGTGGTTGGATCCGAACCCGTACGATATTAGGATCACGACGGTGTAGATGAAGAAACCGACGAACACGCCGGAAGCGACTATTTCCGCATCCGGGTTTTTCTCTTCGTTCAGGTTCCACGTTCCGCCGACTCCCAAAAATCCACCTCGATACCCAGTCCGGTACAGCACCAAAATGATTATGTTCAACACCTATATATATATATTTTAATTAACATGGACTGCCATAATATATAAATATATAGTATAACTTGCAGTCTGCGTGTAAGGTAGTATGGCAGTGGCGTACCTATAGATCATAATATGGCCCATAGTGAAATGTCATGTTCAATTGAAACATATGTCGTCATAATGAGCCTCCGGCCCCTTAAGAAATGTATATAGTAAGGGGGTGATCGAGAGGTGCGGCTGCCTCTGTATTTTTAATGGTTGGGGGGAGGGTGATGGTGAAATGGTGAATGGGTAATAATTAAGTAATTGTAAGTATTTACTACTTACTGCTACGACAAGTATATAGTTAAAAATATGATAGTAAATGTCCTTATCTAGGATTTGAAAGGCGAAAGGGTGGAATATTATTTACTTTTCTCTGAAGAATTTCAAGTTTGCAACGCCACTGCATATTTTATATACGAACAATAAAGACATATAATATTACCGAATATTCGTGTATTTCTGCAGTAATAACTGGTATACTTACCAATTTCACGACTTTGATGACCACCGTGCCCACGCTTGCTATGTTGACCATCGCGAATTCGCTACAGTGACTATATGTCTATATATAAAATAATATAATCGTCGTCCGGTCTGTATTCGTTGTGTGACAAATCGCGCACGCATATACAAAGTATGTAGGTATATTGCCACTGACGGCAGTTCCGCTGCCACTGCAGTCGATTGCGCGATGCGTTGAACGCGGTGGATGAGAGCTTTACGCCTCTCCACGTTCGCGCGTTATCTTTATGACGGTGTGTTTGACGACCTACCCATACCTATCGTCGGTGGTTTCGTGTGAACGCACTATACTACGTGCATATCGCATATATAGGATGGGCTGGGCACACATACAGTTATATCATAATAATAATATATAGGTATTATAACTTATAAGTATATGTATTGTGGGCACTCAAAATACTCTCTGATGCAGGTATTGTCGGTATTAGCACTTGATTATTATGTGTGTGTGTGTGTAAAAACGATTAAATACCAGATTAGATATTTGTGTGCCCAAGAAAAAGCATGAAAATATTTACGTATCTACCTAAATACGTACTGTATAATATATGATACATATATATAATATATAGGTAGATATATAATATCATAATATACGTGTATAGGTTTTTACGCCCGTGTAACGTGTTAACACTGAACACAGGCAGTGAGCAATAACATCAAAAGTTTTTAACTCGCATTTAGTTTATAAAAATGAATGCGTAATGCTTACCTATAATAATATGTATGATGCATTTATTACATGAAATATACCGAGATACTGGAATTTAGTCTGTGCCGCACCCACAAAAGTTTTGCAACAATAATAGATTTTATCTGGCTTTTCGGTGACAGTCGTCTATATTATGATTCATATTATTTTAATATTAAATATTGGTACAGAGAGATACTGAACTTTATTTTTTAATGGATGGGTGATCAATGATAAAAAAAAACCATACAATATTCGATTCTTTGATGTGAAAATGTCCAATCAGAAAGAAACTTTTATAGCTTTTAACAATACTTAATTGTCTATATTATGGTTTACACTTTACGATATTAATCACTTAATATGTTACTAAAGATTTCAAAATTATCAATAACCCTGCCATAAGGTTCAAAATGAGTACAGAGGACACTGTATATGCGTGTTCGATGCATAATATACAAATATAAAATTATACCTACATGCTTTTCTATAAGCTATAAGGATTTTTTCAAAGCAATGGGGAATTGCGACCTTTCTCGCAGTCCCCTGATGGCTGATATACAGCCCAAATTACACATTACATTAATATTGCATGTACCTATACGTATTGTATGCCTAAATATATGGCCTACCGAATGGCGATGATATAATATGATATTCAAGTCTAGGGTGGCATAAAATAGTTTGTGGCGTTTATAAAGCGTGCGGATGACCTCAGTGCGTGCAATAAAATATATTTATTTACAAACGAGTGCGCATCAAACTTCATACTTCGGTTGCATTCATATGGGTGTCTCAGACTCTCAGATATATTCTGATGTATGGTATATGTATATGTATATTGTATATGTATCTTGCCCTTGCAATTAATCGTTTGTATACGTATCTACGTAAAAACAAATCTGGACATTTTGTGTGGACATAAAAACTATGTCTATATAGGATAATAACTATAGAAAGGTAGTATAGTATTTATATTAGTATTTTATGTTTTTCCTTTTAATGTTCCCTTATCATTAATTCCCTTATCCCTTATCTGTACATTTTTTTTCTGTTAACAGTGCGTAATTTTGGTTTATTCTGCATTTTGTCTTGTAGTCGTTATTGTATATCGTGGAAAATAAGTCACTATAAACAGCATCTCTATTTAGTTATTTAATATTATATCAGGTAGAACCCGATTGCGTACATTATTTATCTTTTCGGGAACATGATTGCGGATTTTAGTCGATTGTCGAATAACGAAGGAATCCATTTATAAAATATGATTGTGTACTAAATTGGCTCACAACGTTGTCAAATAAATAATTAGGTATACAATATTCAAAACAACACAGTGTTTTAAAAATGTTAACATTTTTACTCAATAATCAGTTTCATATAATAATAATTAAACAACAGGGGACGAGGTGGCCGAGCGGTGGTCGGTTGCGGCGCAGCCGTCGCCGGTTCGATCTCGGCCACTGGGCGGCATTTTTCTTCGAGCAAGTCACGGTGTCCGGAGAACAAGTGCCGCCACCCCCCACCCGGGGCATGGCAAAAACCTACGGGTGCCCCACTAGAAATTCTGCCACAACACACACACGTGTACCAAACCTATCCAATATAACGACACTCACCGTTCCACCCCCACCCAATGGCCAGCTATGTTGCCGCGGGTCATCTAATAAAAAAAAAATTAAACAGCTTAAATTTATAAAAAAAATTTAAAATTTTTAAATATTGCGTAGGTATAAGATGTAAAAATAAACATTTGCATCGGATTAGTGAAGTGAATACAAAATAAATAGGTAAGTACCTACTCCAAAATATGGTTTCCGTTATTCCAATTTATATTTCCATTAATAATAACTTCTCTATGGGTAACTATAGGTGTTGGTGGTTGAGCACTGTGAAATTTGCTACTGTACATTTGTTGGCAGCTTACTGGACTGTCGACCGTTCTACGGATTTATTTTATTTTATTAGCTATATAAAATTGTAAAATAATAAAAATTTGGCAACATTGCACTGAGATTAAAATAATAACCTGATGAACGGAATAACGCGTTGTAAAAGTTAAGCTCCATCTAGGTACACAATTTTATATTCTATAACCATAATACCTGTAACTATATGGCTTACGACAAATAAATTTAAACATTATATTAATACGTTTTGAGTTATTTTTATAGTTTGGCCAATTATATACATTATTTTTATTAAAACTCAAAATATTATTACATTATCGATGCATACCTAATTAATTTATACCTACGATTTTTTTGTTGGAGGGGCAATGTCAATAGTTGGGTACTTTGGACCACTGAAAGAGGAGTCTATGTAATGCAGCTGGCTGCAATACGATTGCGCGTGGTCTTTATCAGCGGTACCTTTTTAGGCGTACGCATGAACATTAGAGTACTCTTAGAGTTACTCTAATGTTCATGGGCGTACGATTGCCCGTGATAAATTATTTTTACTTCTAAGCAACGTTGCCAAATTTACTTAAGTATTTAGCCATAATTGGAAATAGGTATCAGGGATTTAAAATTTAAATTATTTTATTTATATTACTTTATAGTTTATTATAACGATTTTTTTAATGAATATTTTTTCGATACCTATTCGAATATTATTTTACTATAGTCTATAACTATTTTTTATTATTTGTATATAATGTGATTTTGTATCGAAATTGATGATTTTCAATCGTGTAGCAATTATTATAGTTTTTTTTTTTGAATTTTTTGACCTAAACAATTGAATTTAGAAGATATCACTGGGCTAGTCGAAAATTTGTTAGGTTTTTATAATAATAATTATTTTATATTTAAATAATAATTTGGCACGTCGCATCCAATTTCACACGCAATCGTACGCTTTTGAATAATCAAAACCATGATTATTTGTTATTCCGGCACCGCGCGCAATCGTATGCCTAAAAAGGTAAAACGCGCGAGATCGTAGGTACTCCACCGATGCAGCTTTTGTGTCTTTGTACCTACACGGCTACACAAAGACTTTTATGTATTTTTGTCAGTGTATAATTACGTACCACACATAATGTATATATTAGGTATACATTTTAATATACCTCTATATCTAATTATACGCTTCTGTATACATGTGTAGGTTTCAACTCAAAACATCGCCATTTATAACAAACGACTTTTACGATTTTAGGAATTGGGACTGGAGATAACCGACCAACAACTAAAGGAGCTGCGTGACAATGTGGACAATGTGGACTTTGCGGCGGCCGCCGAAGAAGAAAAGCTCACCCGACACGACATCATGGCTCACGTGCACACGTACGCCGCTTGTTGTCCGACAGCCGGGCCTATCATTCACCTTGGCGCCACTTCCTGCGACATCGGAGACAACGCCGTAAGTCCAAACTATAGGGTGGCCGCACTATATATTGCTCGAGTTGGCTTCGCGCATCGAGTCGTATATAGGTCATATTATATTATTGTGTATTATACCCTGCTTGGGCTATGTGGTTGAATTTGTTTATTCGAAAATGTAGCTATTCGTATATATAGTATAGACGTATAGTATACGATCGCAAGTAAAACATTGTGCGGGTGAACCATTTAGTATACAATTCTGCGCCGAATGATTATAAATTATACTAAATAAGTGTAATGGAATTCGTGATTTATACGCGGCATAATGATAATATTATATATATTTTATATTATTATTTATAATATGGATTTATGAAGTCCCGCGTCCCGTGTAATCTGTGTACTGAGTACTGTGTAGGTATATCGTCATAAAGACTGTCTATAACCTATAGTCTGTATAGCTTACTTATAAAAATATTTAAGCATTAAGCCCGAACGAAATTTGAGTCCTAGAGTTACTTTTATATAATTAATACATAGTTTACATTCTGAGGGGAGCAATGAATGTATTTTAATGTCTTATTCTGTAGCAGAATTTTTTTTTAGTACTTCGATACATAAAAATCGAATTAAACATCAGTTTTATTTTATGTATACCTATAGCTTATAGACTATAACAAGTAATGCGAAAGCAATTCCCGCGGAGCCGTCGGTTACAAACTGAAAAATGAAAAAAGACTATAACAATTTAATATAATAATTCTGTAAGTAAACAAAAAAATATTTGTCAGAAAATCAGAATAATTCTGATGTATGTACCTATGCCGTATGCGAATATGATTCCCAGCGGCCAGCATGACCCAGTTACTGTCCACAGAATCCATAGAGTGGCACCTACTGAAATTTGTAAAATCCTGATTCTGCAGATGTTCATATTATATACTATAATTATACCTAAAATTTAAAATAATTTTGCATCCATTGAACTTATTTTCTGTGTGCGTCATGCCGTCATCCAGAAATTACAACGGTGTTTTTGAAAATTTTAATTTGTAGAACCTGGAAATATTTTTTTTTTTATAGGACCTGATTGTTTTAAGGGACGCTTTCGACATACTGTTACCGAAATTGGCCGGTTGCGTGAAAACATTGGGTGAATTTGCGGATGAACACAAGCATTTGGCCACATTGGGTTTTACTCACTTTCAGTAATTATATTACCTATATAAATTATAAATTATAATATATAGACAATCTTGTGCGTTTAAAGTTTAATTATAAAGTAAAATAATTCATAATAATTGTACTCTTCTATTTCCAGACCGGCTCAACTCACCACGGTCGGCAAACGCGCGTGTCTTTGGTTACAGGATTTGATTTTCTGCGAAAAAAACATAAGTCGTATTCGTGCTGACCTCAAGTTTCGCGGTATCAAAGGAACAACAGGCACTCAAGCGTCATTTTTACAACTTTTCAACGGTAATTTATCACTCTCCTCTCCTATCATCTACCTATTTATACATGCATACACTCTTTAATTCTGGGAAATGGGAATTATCCATACATAAATTTGACTGAAAATTGTACTAAAAATTGTATTTTATTTTTTATTAAATTATACATATTTAATATTTATCGTTATTTAAAATTTTACAAATAAAACAAAAATACATAATTTATCTACCTTCTTTAAGCTGACGCTTGTGTTGAAGGCAGAGAGTTGAAATATAGATAAGTTTGATTTAACATTTCATAATTTTATATTTTTTAAGAAAAAAAATAATAACAGACTCTCTTGAATACATACAGAATATCAGTAAAATGAATTAAATTAAGAAAAATACAAAAGGTTATTGTTATTATAGAGGTTTATAGATATAAAAAAAAAAAACATTATATATTATTAAATACTAAAAATTAAAAGTTAAATAATTAAATAATTGATGCAAATAACCATTCAAGAATAGGTTTTTTGATATTAGAACTCTTATTTACTTATATATTTGATTTTAAAGATAAAGGCATAGAATTATAATAGGTCGGTGCATGATAGTCCACACATTTTGTACTGAACCATTTTTTAAAATAGATAATTTTGGCATTATAGGCTAAATGTTTTCTTTTTTTATCATTAAAATTTACCCAGTAATTTAAATTTTTATAAGCCACAATATAACTATTTTCTTATATAGTAATTTGACTGGTAGCACACTGAATGTCTTAAAGTTTTCCTTTGAGAAGTTTTCTAATGTACCCTTTCTCAGACATATCGGTAAAATTTGTATTTGTTGATTTATTAAAGGGTATAAGCATTATCATTCAGGCCTCCCCCCATACTGATAAACCATATTGAAAAATTGCTTGATAGATGGACAAATACACTATACGCATGGTATTTATAGGGAATACATTTCATAAATTATAGAAACTAGAGGTTAAACTTCGTACTTTCATAACAAGATTATTGACATGTAAATTCCAGCTTAAGTTTTTATCGAAAATTTAACCTAAATATCTGACACTTGAAACTCTTGATATGATTTGACACTGCGTATTTTTACATGGGATATTGTTTTCACACAAATGAAGAGATGCAAATTCATTTAAAAGCTTATTTGAATTATAAATCTCGAAACACATGAACATAGTTTTTTTATAATTTACCGTCAATTTCTTATAATTAAGATGTTCGATAACATTTTGTCTCAATAATTGGCTTTTTTTTTTACATTTTCCCAGGAATCTGCAGCAAAAATTAAACAGGTATCATCTGCATAAGTTATGATTTTTCCGTCAATTTCAAGGGTACATATACTATTTAAATACATAATAAACAAGAGTGGTCCTAGAACACTACCTTGCGGTACTCTGCAGTTTAATGTCAATGAATTACTGAAAACACCGTTTATTTTGACTACTTGGCTTCTGTTTGTCAAATAACTATTGATCCATTTTAAACTCAAGTTTTTGATACAGAAATCTGGTAGGATTTTTATAAGCTCAATGTGGTTCACCGTGTCAAATGCCTTTGCAAGATCCAAAAAAATTTCTAAGGGCTTTTTTCCATCATCGAGGGCCTTGTTAATATACTTTGTTGTACTATATAAAGCGTCTTCAGTACCCAGATTTGGCTTAAAACTAAATTGGTTATTAGACAATAATTTATTTTTCTCCAAGTAAATAATCACCCTAGCTTTAACAATTTTTTCCAGAACTTTTGAGAAATTGCTTATCATATATATGGGTCTATAGTTATTTGTATTTAATTTATCACCCTTTTAGAAAAGTGGCTTAATAACTGCAAGTTTCCATATTTCAGGGAATATACTGTTTTTAAACTTAAATTATAAATGTAAATTAGAACTTAGAGGATCTATTATGTGTTCTATTGCATGTTTAAAAATTGTTGTCGTAAATCCCTCAAAACCTGCCGCAGTATCTTCCTTTAACTTTAATATTAAGCGGGTAGCCTCTGATTTTTCGATCTTAGTTCTGAAACAGTTTTCAAAACAGACATTCGGAGTAAGGGCTTCATGTTTTAAAGTAGTAGAGTCAATTACCTAGGAAAGGATCTGACCCTCACTTAAAAAATCATTTAAAACATTTGCTACTCAATTCGGATTTGTATTTGTTTGAACAATATTATTATTGATTTTAATTGCTCTTATTTCATCCTTTACAGATTTGTTATTTTTGTCTAACATTTCTCCAATAACCCTCCATGTTAACTTAGGGCTATATGAAACGTCTACAAATTTTTTTTTATAAAATTAAACTTTTGACAATTTAAGAATTCTCGTAAATTTTTTTTTTGTATTTATTATAGTGGGATATTAGATTAGTATTATTTGGGTGTTTTTTAGATAGTTCATTTTTATGACGTAAAGAACGAAGTATTATTTTGTACACATAATATTTTATGAACAAATGATACAATAACAGTACACAATTTAAACCCAAAAACCTTCCCTGATTTATCTTGCACTGTATAATTTAACTACTTATCTATGGTATTGGATATATATATATATGTTATATGTATATAAAATATAATGTTTCAATGTTTTACAGGTAACTACGAAAAAGTTAGAGAATTGGATAACAGGGTAACAAAACTCGCCGGATTCCCAGCTTCATACTCGGTCACAGGTCAGACATATCCTCGAATTGTTGATGCAGAAGTTGTTTCATCCTTAAGCATTCTTGGGGCTGCTGTCCATAAGGTATATTAAAATAATATTATAAGGTGATCCTATCCTATACAAGTAATAGGTATTTTATTCTGATAAAATATATAATAATATAAATGTATTATGTATTGTACAGATGTGTACAGACTTGAGGCTATTGGCAGGTATGAATGAAATTGGAGAACCTTTTGAACCCACTCAAATAGGCTCAAGTGCAATGGCTTATAAACAAAATCCAATGAGAAGTGAAAGAGTTTGCTCTATTGCTCGGTATCTTATGAATCTAGTTAACAATCCTTTATCTACTGCCTCTGTACAGTGGTTAGAGCGAACATTGGACGACAGTGCAAATAGGTCTGTGTTAAATGGTTATTGTACCACAATTATTCTTGAAGAAAACTTTTAAACTATGTTTTTGGAATTTTAGGCGATTGTGTTTATCAGAAGCATTTTTGGCTGCAGACAGTATAATGTTGACATTACAAAATATCCTCGAAGGGTTATCTGTATTTCCCAAAGTGATATCAAGAAATATTGAGAAAGTTTTACCCTTTATGGCTACAGAAAACATCATCATCGCAATGGTCAAAGTTGGAGGAGATAGACAAGTAAATATCAGACACTACACAAACACAAATATTTTAGGTTTTGGTACAAAATGTGACCCAATCATTTACCAGCCATGGCTTAGTATGGAACTCACCGAATTGATAATTTCATTTATTTTACTACATTGTTTAAATAATAGTTATAACATATATTATTTATTGAATACTATTGCCGATGAATACAATATTTTAAAATTGGTATGATATTTTTTGTTGAATTCACAAAAATTATATGAATAGAACTATCAAGTCACCAATTGGCAATTACATACATGCATGACACACTAAGTCCAACTTAGTAATTTGTATTTTAATTTTTTAACTATAATAACTAATTCTTTCATAGTGTCATATTATTTACAACCATTCAAAAATAACTACTTTGTTTAAAAGAAAATCAATTAAAACAAGCAAAAACAAAATTTAGTTACATTTGGTATATACATTTAATACATTTAAAGTTTGATAAAAATGCCAACGCTAATTATCAAAAATCAAATTTTTGGACTTGGGGAACTTTGCATGAATGGGGACGAAATACACTATAAACTATGAATAATAAAGTAAAAAGTATAAATTAATGTGATATTTGAGATTGATTTATATTCAAAAGTTTTTTTATTATAAAAGAGGGGGGTGACTTTATTTTTCCCTATTTTGGGGGGTCGTGACTATAAAAAGGATGAGAAACTCTGCTATAGACTATAGTTATCAGCCTATTTACCCATCAATAATATTATATTTGATTATTATTTATTTATTTATCTACAACATATTATTATTAAGTAAAAATACTGTCGGACTAGATGTGGATCTATTTATCGATTGGTATAATCAACGTCAGATTAAGCTTTAAATAAATAGGGCGAGGATTTAAATGCACTAAAAAACAAGAACACTATAAATGCCTTAAAAAACATGATTTAATGCACTAATATAACAAAGCTTAATAAAATGCATTGAAAAATTAAAGGTCAATTTAAATGAATATAAAATGAAAACTCATCATTTCTCACCACAAAAGCACCTATCAGCCTGTCTACTTTACCGTCTGTTGCTCTAAGTTGGTGTCAATTTATACAGTATGGCATTTTATTGTAATGATTGCAATCCATGTGACGGGGTCTGCCATTTATTTTAACTCACTATGTGTAATATTTGTCGCGGAGAAGAAATTGTTTGCGGAGTCTTACACATTTTCGTAATTTGTGTGTGTGGTCCTGATCTCTTGGTGAACAGACTATAGTTAATCTTAACAACTCTAAAAACCTTAGTTTTTTAATAATAGAACAAAAATATTTTCAAAAATGTTGATATTACAATCTAAATAAAATTGTTTTATTGTATCAAATTGTATAATTAAATTTAGGTGTGCCATGAAAAAATAAGAGTTTTATCACTAGAGGCAGCTAGTACAGTTCGTCTAGAAGGTAAAGACAATGATCTATTGGACAGAATTGTGAAAGATCCATATTTTGCACCAATTTTGGATCAGTTACCTCATCTTTTAGATCCATCTACTTTCGTTGGGTGTGCACCTGATCAGGTAAATATCCAATCAATGAATTTATGTTTATTTAATCTTTAATAACATGATTGATTGTTTAAAGGTAAAATATTTTCTAAAAGAAGAAGTACAGCCTGTGGTCAATAAATACATTTCCAAGATCAAAACTACAGCTACAAAACTGGATATCTAAATCACAATATTTTTTAAATACCTACTAAAATTCACCAAAAATTAGACTTTCAAATACTCTATAATTAGTGAATTAACAAATTGTAGCCAAATGTTTTAATGATAAAATTATTAAAGAATTATATTATTTTCATTTTTTCCATTTTAAAATGTCATCAACTTGAAAAAATTATGTTAAAAACCCACGGTACATTTAAAACGGTTATAGGAAAACTGTATAAATTATTAATGAGCAAAATCAATATGAAATTTAACCATATATTTTTAAAATATATAAATATAATAATATTAATATACCTAGTGCCTTAGTTATATTACGTCAAACAACAATTTAGTTATATGTAACTAAATTAAAAAATTTAAAACATAATTTGTCTTTACTTTTTCTTAGTATTATTTAGGTCATAGTAAATAAAATTACAAATTACATTTATTTTAATAATAATCAGACAAATTGTTTAAAATTGAAGAAATAACGAAAAATATTTTCTGAATCATAAAAATATCCTAACATTTTAAACTATAAATAATATTAAAATTATTAGTGGAGGTTATACTAAACTATTAAAGAAACTCAACCCAAATAAATTTAAGTTACCTTCCATTCTATAATTTTCTACCATAGTATAATCTGATAGTTGTTGTGCTGTACCTAATGGAGGTTACTGGCTACTGCTACGTAAGTACTACTGAAATAAAAATTCCTATAAAACATTATTTAATAGTTCTGATTAAATGAAAAAATAGATTCTTTTAATAGGAATTAAATAATAAAAATATGCAATGAGTGTACTAGTTTTAAGTAGGTACTAACTACTTGCTATAACTCATTTACCTCATCACAAGCTTTGCTTGTAGAGGTTAAATAATCAAAAATATTGAAGTTTATATAGTATCTTTGTAATTTAATTGATGAAATGAAAAAGAAAAGAATAATAGTTATAATTCTTCAGTAGTGCATTTAGGCATAGTTTATTACTCGCCCTCATTCCTGGGTAACATTGAACTGCTCCTCATCCTTCCTAATCAACCTACCTATAACTGACACATTTAACACATGTAATAGGTATTGAATTTGAACAGTTAGTATAAAGAAAATTTAATATGTTAAATAATATTAATACTGTTAAATAATTAATACTTGTTTAATACTGGTGAATTTTAATACCTACTTACATGATTTTTAGAAAGTAATATATTTATATATGTGTATATACAAAGTTCTCTTGAACACTAATAATTACTCCAAGTTCTCACAGGCAACGGCCATAAAAAATATTTAAATTGAGGCAAGCACCTATGTGACATTGAGTCAATGGCAACTACACATTGCCCGAGGTAAATGATTTATAAATAATAATAACTATTAATTTTATCATTAATATCCTTAGATCATAAACATTTTATTTTTTTAAATGATATGATTCACATAATATACTATGACTTGATACAAGATCTTAACCCAGAATAATATTATGATCAAAGTACTAAGTCATTAAACTTAAGAGGACTTTACCCTCATGTGTTGTCTCTGTATTACTAACATTGGAGTAGACAAGGGAGGACGTGGAGGTCTGATTCCCTCCCCACATTGTCTTTTTATTACATTGGTAATAAATTGAGAGGGTGGGAGATTTTCCAATTTTCCCATCACATTTAGTTTGTCATTTTTTTTTTTTTTTTTTATCCACCTCTTTCAGAAAACATGTCTACATACCAAATTTGCGTTCAGCAGAACCGATTTTGAGTTATTACTTGTTCGCTCTAATATTAGAATTTAGAGCAAAATAGAGCAATTTACCTATAGGCTATAATCAAAGTTCAAACTTGAGAGTTGAAAGTAAAAAATTCTAGTCTTCATTGACTATTGAATCTTCATGGTAAGCTTAGATCATAATCACGGATCATAATATTATAGGTAGTCCGTGCTCATAATATACAATATACATTGGTAAGTACTAAGTAAATATTGAACTAAATAAATATTAAATTATTAAATAACATATAAGTTGAAGACTATATAGAAGCTGTGATAGAAGTTTTCATGAAATAACATTATCAGCTGCAGATAATAACCTAACCTAAAACCTTAAAAGTTAAGATAACACGAGTAATATGAGATAACAACACAACCATAATTTCCCGCCAAATTATGGTAAACATATTTTGTGTTTTAATATGATACCTTATCATGTCAGTAGTCAGTAGTCAGTAGTCAGTACACACTTCAGTACTTCGCAGTTCACAGTTCACACTTTCGCAGTAAGTTGTCACTTGTCAGTCGATTTCTATTAAATACGTTTTGGAACTGAGAACGGTTGTAGGAATTATTTTTTTTATCTTTTCGACTTGTATTCATTGTTTGTATTTGTCTTTAAATTAATATTAAGTTCGAGTTTCAAGCACAAAATGAGTGAAGCTACAAAATTACGCAAGTTCATAGTCAGCACATTCTCGCTCAATGGTTTTACGATTCAAGAGTAAGTTTATTATTCACGTATGTGCATTGAAGCGTTCACGTCTATCGCCTATGGTATTTTTCTATGATTACTTATATTAGTCATATTGTACATCTGTACAGTTATGATAATATAGACCATGGATCATTAATTCATATTTTTGGAGGACTTTTTGGAAGTTTCTAGGGTAGATCATTATTGAATTTATAGTGAAACCTTCCCACAGAAACCTCTAAATAGTTTCTTTTTGGGAACTAACTACAAGCTTTCTACAAACTAAACCCTCTGTTAATATCAAATAGCAGACACAATTTAAGTGACAGAGAGCATCCAGTATTTAGAGGTTTCACTGCATATGTTAAGTGAAAAAATTAAATAAAAACTAATAAAAATTGAACTTACCTTAAAAATATGAATTTCTTGTCTGCGGGTGAGCCAGATTAAGTTTTCTACGGGTCACCTTCAATTGTGATCCTGATTCGCGCCTAGTGTAAACAAACTATTTTTTATTTAAAATTTATATGTATTCATTTTTTTTTTTTAAGGAGGGCATGTGCGTATTTAGTACAACAGTTAGAACCATTAGGGTCTAGAGAAGATCGTGATAAATGGTTAGACAAAATTGTAGATTATGTACGCGTTTCGAGTACCAATGATGGAAACATAGTGACATACGAGTTACTGAGCAAGGCTCTTAAGGTGAGTTTTCAAGATGATCAATTAAAATACATATTTCCAATTTTCAAATGATATATCTACATGTACCTCTATCATGATTTTAATAGTTCTGCTGTAATTTACAAATCCTTAATGATGAAGACATATTACATGTGACTCCTGCTTATAAGTTACCTCGCTATAGATACTGCCCAACAACAAGAAAGTTTCAAAGAATAAAATCAGAAATATCCATGTTTGGTGATGCCCAGTCAAAGATTGCCCAGTATGTTGACAGGTAAGCAGTCATATATATATTGTTGATCTATGAGGTATATTTCCAAGTATTTATGTACATTTAGATTATTTATTTTTATTTTCATAGATATACTGTCATCAGACAACGCATGGCTAGAATAAAGACTACAACTGATGGTACTCTTAATCAACCATTGACAATCGGTGACAAAATACGTGATGTTGATTATCTTTTGAGTTCAGGAGCCTGTAGAAAATTTGATCATAGTTCCAAAAGTAATTCAATACTCCTGCTGGGTGTTTTAGTACAATTGAAAGAAGGAGGTCGGCATTATTTAGAAGACCCCACTGGAGCTATACCCCTTGATATTACTGCAACAATATCCTTTTAATTCAAGACAGTTAACAATATCTTAATTCACATAAGTTTTTAGTGATATTAAAAAAAAAAAGGTGGGTAAGTGGATGTCGCTCTGCTGTACTGTAGGTTACAAGTGGGTCACTGTATAATGGATGGTATTAAATTTGAATTCAATGATACAATATCATTGTATAAGAAAAACGATTCTGAGCGAAGACGGTATGTCAGTCTAGGTTTAAGACAAATTATATACATATCTATGGTATTAAATAAAAAATTGACCTATAATAAATTCCAAATTAATCATATCACATATCACAATATCCATTAGGTACTTATAACACGTTATACATCAACATCAATAACAAATCCTGTCATCCTGATACTATCATTGATAAATAATAGTAAACTTTAGAAGTTTCAAGTAGGTACCCATGAATAATATTATATAATCACAACAAAATAACTAGGTTTTTTAATGTGTAATTTCGTCCAAATTTGAACATAAAATGACTATAAAAATAAACTGTGATTGTATATTTTTTAGATTTTTTGGTAAAAGAATTAACTACTTACGTGGAATCTTGTTTTAAATTTTCAATCCTTAGCTATAAAAACCGATACATTTTATAATTTATTAATTACGATGATTAATAATTTTCGAGATTTTGAAAAATTCTGTCAAAATTCGATGTTAAATGCTTATAAAAAAAAACTGTGCCTATGTATTTTTAATATTTTTCAACTGATATTGTAACAATATATCAGGAGCCTTGTATTAAATTTTTACACTTTTTGGCCTAACAGATAAAACTTTATTGATATTCATAGAAAAAAAAACTAAAAAAATTTAAAAATGAAAATATCCGTAAACAGCTCAAAAAGAGTCAAAATATTTTCAAAATTGTATGGTGTATAGGAAATGCTTATACAAACATTCAGTGAAATTTTCATGTATCTATAGTTATTCGTTTATGAATAACAATAAAATAAGGAAATCGCTACATGAGAAATCGAGTGAACATCCAATGTTGTAAAAATTTGAATATCAAACGCTCATAAAAATTTAATTTGACTGTCCGGTAGAGATTTTTTTATTGATAAAGGTAGACAAACTTATGAGTAATCTTGTATTACATTTTCAAATCTTAGATTTAAAAAGAAAAATTTTTACGAATACTTTACTCAAAATAATTTGCTAATTTTCGTGATTTGTCAATTTTTGAACTTTAAATGCTTATAAAAAAAAACTGTGACTAACGATTTTTAATATTTTTCATCTGCCTTTGAAACATTATAGTAGGAACCTTGTATTAAATTTTCAAGTATTTCTACTCAACAAACAAAGTTTTATTGATATTTTTAGAAAAAAAACTAAAAAAAAATGGAAAATGAAAATGTCCCTAAACAGTTCATAATAAATCAAAATATTTTGAAAATGTTATCGTGTATAGAAAAGGCAAATATAAACAACCAGTCAAAATTTCATGTTCCTACAGTCATTTGTTTTAAAGTTACACCAAAAACCAAATTCGATTTTGTCAAAAACCTATTTTGCGTAAAAATTCCCGTTTTTCCTTCATTTTTATGTTGTTTTTCCCGGCACTTGTGAAAACTATTGGGAATTTTAAATTTTGACCTCCCCAATGCACCAACGATATTCACTCTCCAATCGAACAAGATACTGAAGTCGAAAATCGGAGCATTATTTCGACTACTTATCGTGTACACAGACACAAAAATAAAAAAACACACATCATTGTAAAATCAATACATTCATCGTTTCACTCAGAATCTAAAAAAAAATATTTGTCATGTACAACTAAATTATTAATTTTAATTCTAATAGTTCTACACTAACAATATTATTTATAAATAGTTCACAACACAAGTATATATTTTAAATATCTTCCTTAACCTTGTATACGATTTCCAAAAAGGCTATTTTACCGAGAATTGTTGTGTATTGGCAGAAGGTCGTTACTGTAGTGATCGTCGAGTTTTTTTTGTCACTAATATGGCCTTACCACCGTGTGAACGTACAGAAATTAGCAAGTAAGAAGATATGTTATATAACACTTTAATCTGACTAAAATTAAATTATCAATACTTCTATAATATATTATTCTATATTATAATATTACTTCTGACTTATTAATATAATAACATATTTTACAGTTAAAAGTCACTATTTAATTTTACAATATAAATTATATTATCTAATATCTATTGTTTAAGCTATTTTTTTTCAAAATTATTTCTGACTGATGGTTCATTAGTCATTACTCGTCAGTATACAAATTACAAGGTACTTAATACTTCATAATTATTTTTTTTCTTATACTTATTCTTTAATTGTATCTAAGAACATTTTGTGAATAAAAATAATTTTTATTTTTAACTTTAATAAAAAGGACAACACAATGTAAACTTCAAATTATTCATTATATCCATAACATTAAATTTAACTCGAGTATCCCTTAACTGTGAAACCTTAAATACATTAAATACATTAAACGTTAATACATTAAATATTTGCCTCATACATTTTATATAGATCCTCTATGAATTATAGCATATTGTCATTGATTATAAATACTAGTATCTATAATCAATAATATTATCTATGTTATTTTAATTTTTTTTTTGTTTTTTTTTTTTTCAGAATTTATTTTGGGGAATCAAACAATTTTAGTGACAGCAATGATCTCAACTTAAAATCATGTAATCCAAAATTGTTGGAATATGAAAAGAGTAAAAATCGAATGATTGTATTTGTATCTGATGTTTTTTTAGATGATCCGAAGGTTTGTGAGACATTGATATTTTATAATGTGCCGTAAGATTGATAAATATTATTCACAATAACATATAAATACAATAATTTTGGCCTTTATGGAATTATGAACTCAGTTCAATTATTCCTATTTTAAAATCTGGTCACTTTTCAGGTTAGGTAACTTTGGAATTACTTATTACTTATTGTAGAATGCTTTTCCTTGTTTCTAAAAATTTTATAATATTATGAAGTTCTCCCATAATATACAAGTTTACATGATAATGAATGACAACATCAATTTTGTTTTGATTGCTCATTGCTCAGTTATTACAACTAACTAGTCATATCAGTGCTTATTATATTATATTATCCTATTGATATTATTTATTCACATTTCTATATTCACATTTTAAGTAAATTTAAATTATCTATCTCCATTAAATGCATCAATGGTTAGGTTTATATCACCACTACTTGTATAATATTAATATAGTACCATTATTTGGGATTAATACTTTACTTCAGACACTCCAGCTTTAACGCCTCGCATAAGTTCCTTAAACTATTATATACATAATTAAATACCCTTCCTACAGTCTTGCATAGATATTAGATTCCAGTAGCTTTGAAGGTATGGTACTTTTCATTTGTGAGTCAAAGGAATTGTAAAAAATAATTATTCTTCTTTTTTAAGTCTTAAGACTCAGGTTATCATGTTGACTATAAATTGGAATATGACGTTACTCATAGGACTTGCCATATTTTCTTGCTTCCTTTGAAGCTAGAAAATACTTCTCAATTGACCCTTATAATTTAGTATTTTATTAAATAAATTAAGTTGAAAGTTCTATTTTAATTAATATTTAGGTAGGTTAAACCTAATATTTTATATAAAAATATATTTTTTAAAATTTTAAATATGAATTTACGTATAATATGAGAAATATAGTAGTACATTTAATTTTAACTTATCTGTGTTTTTTACAGGTTCTAAAAAAATTTCATACATTGTTAAATTCTTTCAATGATCTTGCTCCAGTGGCCATAGTGATGATGGGTGACTACTTGTCTTGTCGTATACCCTCACATGCATATGCCCAAGAATTGAAAACTCATTTGAATCAATTGGGAAATTTTTTACATGATAATACACCTGTACTTTGCAAACACACTATGTTTGTGTTGTTATCTGGTCCTGGAGATCGTTATAGTGGTGCTGCAGGTGCAAGTATCTTGCCAAGGTACTTAAAATGTTTATATTAAAGTTCTACTTTATATATTTTAAATATTTAAATAAACATATTTTATTATGTTTAATTTGTTTTTCTTAGCTTTTGATATTGAACTTTATTATTTAGACCTTTAATACCTGAGTTCTTAACTGAAGAATTCCGCCGCCTAGTACCACGATGTGTGTTTACAACAAACCCGTGCCGTATGCAATACTGTACACAACAGATACACATTATTCGAGCTGATGGTCTAATGAAAAAAACTGCTAACTATGATATTAGACATAGCTCAATGGATCGAAACAAATCCACTTCAGCAGCAGAGTCTGATGATGATATCATTAAGAATGTAAGTAACCTATAATAGTACCATATGTTTGAATTTACTTAAATGCATTTTAATTTGTGGGCATTGGTGTATGTTTTATGATAATTCATGTGCACGTTGGTCATTGTGCATACAGTATATAAAAACTTTGGAAAGCCAGTCACATCTAATAACTGTTCCTTTGGATGTGTGTCCCACATACTGGCCACTTGCATCACATTCCTTGAGTTTGTATCCAATGCCTGATGTAGTGTGCATAGCAGATTCCAATGCCCCAGAATACAGTACTGTAGGTTCAAATGATTCCAATAGCTCTAGCTCAAAAATATCATCATCATCAGGTTGCATATTTTTCAACCCTGTAAGTATTAATGTAGTTATTGCTTTAACTTAGATTTTTATCATTTATATTTTAATAGTTGTAGTTAGTTCAAATGTTACTATATAGATTGATCCATTTAACATAAGACACTCGGTATATCAGAATACTCCTAATGTTTCTGAAAATAGTTCTTTTACATAATTTTAATTTGTTACTAAAAAAAATTTTTGGAAAAAAAATTCAAATGTTCACTATTTTTATTATTATCTTGTAGTGTTTTTCTCTTGAATGTATAATTAATATAATATTTTTTTTTTCATTTTCTGAAACAAAATATTATTTGGATTATTTTGATTTATAAAAATCAAATTTTGGAATAGAAGTTTGTTCATTATAAATTATAAGTAATTTAGTATTTAAAATTTATATGAGTGGAGTAGTGAACTAAAATTTTTCGGGGTACCACTCCAAAACTCCTCTCATCAAAACTTTAAATTATAATAATAATATTCATTTCTATTTCATCAATAACAGCAATGATAACATTTTTTAAAAATAATAATGTACAAAATCTATAACTCGTAAGGCGACCTTGGATTTATATGCAATTGCATATTTTTCCTTTTCGGATTTTTGTCAGTAATCTTTATGAATTCTTATACTTTGAAGCTAATATACTTTTAGATTCTGGGCGGAGCAATGAATGTACTAATTTTTTTTTTGTCTTTATCTTGTATACAAAATTTCTCCAAGAAAGAGTGCTTTGATTTCAACATATAGTATCTTATCTTTTAGATAATTAGATTAAGATGGTACTTAAGAGAGGTCCTTTTTGGATTTTCTCAATAGTTTTTTAATGCCACTGGAAAACCACCTACAAATTACGAAAAACCTTTAAAAATGGGATTTTAATTTCTAACGCTTTGTTTTTCACATGGTGAAAACGATGAAAACATGAGAAACGAATAAAAAATAATATTTATATATTTTATTCAACTTACAGGCTATAATAAATAATAACAATATAAAATATTCAGACTGACAAACTCCGCTCAGAATCGTTTTTCTTATATAATGGTATATTATATCAATATCATTGAATTCAAATTTAATACAATATATTATACATTGACCCACTTGTAACCTACTGTACAGCAGAGCAACATCCACTTACCCGCGTCTTTTGGCATATTACTGCATATATTTTAATTTTTACTGAATATTTGTGCATATTTTGACAAATTTCAAAATTTATTGCATATTAAAGCAAACATTTTAACAAAATGTATAAAATAATATTTTGTTGAGCAAACAATTTAATAATACATTTTGTAGTCATTGAATGATTCATTTAAATTATATTAAATTTAAAATTTAAAAATAATTATTTGTTTATTGAGTAGAAACTTATAATTATAAATTATAATTATAAGTTGTTAAATTTATTTTAAGTTGTAGATGTATAAACCAGTAAAAATAATTATCAAATAAAATAGTGAATTTATTTACAATAAATCATACAATTTAAAGTATTTTTTCTTTCATATTTGTTGCATATTTTCACCATATTTATTATATGTTATATGGTATATTTTAATACTAATTACTAATTAGGGCATAAAAACCTATGTTCTACTCATAAGCCATAAACTACTCATCCAAAATTTGATTTTTATGTATTGAAATAATCCAAAAAATGTCTGCTTCGGAACAAGGAATTTAAACACATGTTGCCCTAAAAAAAAATGATAAAAAATATATTTTTATTTTTGAATGACTTACAATTATGTTAAAAACTGATTTTTTAAATTATGAGTGTCTAATGTTAAATGGATTGTTAATGATGTTATCCGGTATAGTTAAAATTGCACTAATACATATTTCAATACACGTAGTATGTGTATGACAGATTTGTACTTATTAAGGAACATCTGTACATTGTTCATGCATACGAAATAATAAATACGGAAACATTGAAGCATTGGTCAATATGGTATTCTTTGTAATCATTATATTTATTGTAATATTTTTATAAAAGTTGTTATTATTAATACTTTTATCTGCTGTTGATATAATGTGGTTTGGAAGTTGATTCAATAAAAGAAATTGTTTATAAATGGTTATTAATAGAGAAAAATAAACGTAACTGCATCAACTTTCAAACATTAGTTATTTATTTTTTAATAATATACAGAAACTGAAATGTTATGTATTTTTATATTTTTTTTGTTTTGTTTTTCAGTCATCATTTTCGAAAAATAAGTATACTTTTTCAGTATACATAACAGCTCAGCGTCAAATTGAAGACAGTAATTTACCAGACGATGAATATGATGCAGATAATACGTTAATGGACAGTGAAGATACTGTTGCAACAGTTGGAAACCGTCTTAAAGTTAATTAGTGTTATGTATAATCTTATACCTTATAGCAGTGATATTTGAGATTATAAATTAATGTGAATATTAGGATATTAAATAAATAATTTATATTTTTGTATTGTTTGTTAATTGAAGAATTTTTAATTATTCATAATTTGTTTTTGTTTATATGCTCCCCAATAATTCCCACTAATCCGTGCAGTAGATAATCTTGACCACCCACCACATGCCACTCAAATAATAACAGTTTAAAACTGTTTAGCTATTTATAACTGGCGTGGGTGCCACTGATTAACAGTATTTGGAAAGTTCTTAAACATAAAACCAAATTAGTTCACATATTCACATTCACAGCCCACAGTATCAAAATACAACATAGTATGACTTGTTAAAGATTTATTTTAAAAGCACGTATTGGTCTGTATTCATGTGTGATGTGTCCTTAAAATAATCAACAACTGCTTGTAAATCTTCTTTATTTTCTACATAATAGTTGGAATTGGAGTTAATTAGCTCTTCAAATACAGAAATAACATTAATAACAGGTACAAAAGCAAGAGCTGATAATTTTTTTTATTTCATAGGCAAATTCAACGTCCATGGAATACCTATTCTGTATTCCACACGATTGTAATTTTCGCCATAAGCACTATGGGTAAAATGAAAAAATCATCCAAGTATTTTAAAATCTTTGTACAATTCTTTAAATGATTTTATAAATGCCTGTTCAAAATCCATCACAGTAGATATTGGTTGTAAATATTTGGTCTGAGTATATTAATATTTGATTTAGTATTTCGGAATAACTATTTTGATTTTTGTTATACATTAAAATATAATATATATATATGGATATTGGATATACAGGTACTTCTAATCTAATTGCAACTGCCAACTTTTATAATGAAGGTTAAATTTTGAATTAATATTTACTCTGGATATTTTGTCGTGGAACCAAATTATTTCTTCATTATTTTATTTAAACCACAAAGTTTTTTTTTAACTTTTAATGTTTGCCATCAGTCATACTTCAATTTCTGTTTGTGTTAGTTGCTCCTATTATGATTACTAAATAGTATAGAGTTAATAGATAGTAATTATTTATTGATATAATAATGAATAACTGCATTTATGCATTTTACTCACTAACTTTTATACAGTTAAATTCAAAATGCTTGAACAACTAACAAGCGTACCTATACTAAGTAGTAAGTACCTATAATAAGTAGATGTGACTTAGTGAGAGTATATATATGACCTATCACATATATAATGACCTTCATGAAAAGTATTTTGAGTAATAAAGTTGATTCTTCCTCCCTTGTATCAGCTTTGCTTAAAGGCTCAAACTAAATTTACCGAGATAAGGTCATTTGGGACCCAATTTACCAATCCCTTGCATATTATACAAATTAGGTAGGTAGGTAATTTTTCAAATGGTAGGTATGCTTTCGTAGCCTTTGTGGGTTAACTATCCATTCAAATACAGGTTTGAACAGATTATGACATCTGGGGGCTGGGAATAATATCCACTTAAAAGAAGGTAGGTAGGTAGGTAACTATTTATATTTATATACACAGGAAACATTACAATGTAGTAGGTTTCCTAATAGCATTGCTTTAATATATTAGTTACCTAGGTAGTAGAAAATAAGAAACGCAGAAAAAATTATCAAGTAGCAATATATGGTATACCTGTTATAAATATGGAAATAATTATTTATTTTTCATTAAAATAGGTATACACAGACACACAGTTAATTTGTTAAATCAAAATATTTTTTCCATTTCTTAAATTTCATATTTTTAGGTTTCTACCATGTTTTTTCCAAAAAAAAAAAATAATAATGATAAAGCATTAAAAACGCATAGCTCAGTAACAGTAGGTAAATACATAATAATTAATATTAATTACTTATTAGTTATTACAACGTTTAGGTATACAGAAACATAATGCAGCTAAGTTAGGTATATTAGACGTACGTCTAGATTATTATTATCTTTATCTAGATAGGTACTAGGTAAATAATATTATCGTCATACCAATCTAATTTTAATCGATAAATAATTAATAACACCGTTCATTTCATTGGACGATGACGACTATTTTGAGTGCTCTACAATTTAGTAAAAAATGAAAATATTAATTTCTTAAATCGTTAAATTGACAATTTTGATTTTAAAAAATTTCATATATATTTATTTATAATCAATTACCTATAATATCATACAAATTATAAAGGTTTTTTTCAACTGAAGCTCATAAAAAGTAAGAACCTACCGGCTTAACCCACTATTAAAAGATCTATTCATAACTAAAAAGAGTTACCTACCTATTGTTGAATAGAATAATAGCGGCACCTACCTAAAATATTATAAGCGACAAGTGAGAATTGTTATTCAAAAAAAAGTTGGTAAGTGGATAATAAAACTTAAAAGGAGATATCTTTTGAACCTGATAAATATTTAAAAGATTAATTTTATTGGTGCTTTTAATAAATTGTTTATAAGCTACGACCTACCTTTATGTGTATGCCCTATACCAGGGGTCACCAATTAATATATTTGGAGAGCCATATTGGGAATTTTCAAACTTTTCGTGGGCCATCAAAATTCAAACAAATATTTTTAATTGATGAAAAAATAACATACCTAGTGGCTTAGTGGCATTATTAATAATAAATTAAATAATAAGGAATCAAATTCAATAAATTAAAATAAAATACAAATTTATAATATCTATAATATAAATAGAAATTGAGTTAAAGTTAGTGGGAAAAATCGCAAGTATTGCTCTCAACTAAGTGCTTGAAATGTTGTGTAAGCTAAATTCGTGCTCTTAATATATTTTAAATTATGCAGGTACGCAGGTTCTCAATTTTTGATTTACGAAGTTTACTACTTACTGGGAATTGTTCGACAATTGATTTATGTGAAGTCTCATAATGATGTTTAACATTTAAAACTTTAAAAACAGCTACTGTCTGATGGCAAATCAAGCAAACTGGCAATAATGTTATGCATTTTGTTATCGGTTATTACTTTTTATCATTTTCTGAGGGCAGGGTACAATTTGTCCAAGGCCTGTATTTTGTGACCACTGCCCTATACTATATGCCATAGGGGGATATTGGAGTGTTATATCTGTATAGGTATCTATTATCTATATATTGCCTATATTATTATAAGAATACAATTTATTAAAAGTAGGTAGGTATCTACCTATTTAAAAATTTAAAATGTAATGAAGTACCAGTCTTACTCGACATTATTGGACCACATATAAAAAAAAAATAAATATATCCATTATACCTATCTACGTTATAACTGATTTGAAGTAGGCAGGTAATGTACCTATCAACTTACTACACAGGTTACTATTAAATAACCAATTTTTTTCTCGATAAAATATGCAAAATATACTTAGGTAGGTAGAAAGCGAGAATATTGTTCTCGGAAACCTATGTAATAGAATGTAAATATTCCAAAATGCAATTTTGTAAACAGTTACTTAGTAGAGTACCTACCTACGACCTACCTACCTATAGGTACCTATCATCGCAAGCTGTGTTTGGATTACATATAAATAATATATTGGTAGGTGTAAGGCAGGTAGATACCAATTTACTTTTTTACAGTTTAACTTTCAAATCAAATTATTAACCTACCTACATGATATCATAGGCAAGAAAAAAATGGTTTTGTCAGTGGCTTCAATTTTGTTTGATACCGGAAATTATATGTAGCCAGGTCTAGAAGTCGTAGGCTTATATTAATGTCACAACCACTAGGTAGATACAGTTAATTATTCTCTCATTCTCCAGGGATGAACAATAAATAGTAGATAGATACCTATATATTATTATCTAAAATATTATATCCAAAAAATACACAGAATTCCCAACTAGTTTTCTAGTGAGTTTTAATAAATCAATCGATAAAGGTACTTTAGGAAGTTAAAGGGTTTCAATAAATAGTCGATCGTCCGAATAAAAGTACAATTTTTAGTTTTAATTCAATAAGTATATAATACTAGTTACAAATAAACCATAAAAATAAATTATACATATTTATACCTAGGTACCTATTAAAATAGGTATGGTAGGTACCTATCTAATTTAACATATACCAACCTATTAAGGTACCTACTGTACTTGTTCTTAGATCATCCTTATAAAAGTACATTCAGAAAATATGATCTTGTATTTTACAATAACTACCTAGGTTTTGACCTTCAACGACATTAGTAGGTAATTTTCTTTAAAAATATATAGGCATCTTAATAATATATATTCATCTTGTGTTACCTACTCAATATTATATATTTGTAATTATAAATAAATAATAATATAATATAGTTAACATAATAATATGATATTAGATATTACCATAAATATTTCTATTTTTATGGCTAAATGTTGTTACATTTATAGATACACACCTAGGTAATTATTACTATGAACAAAATGTCAAAATATAAATACCTAAAATGGCTGAAACAAATTTTGAATTCCTAAATAGAAACTTATGAAACTATTATAATATGTAGGTAGGTACAGTTAAATATTGATGATACTTTTCTGTATCTGTTCGCATTCAGGGTACCTCTTTTTAAAATTAAATAAAGTCCTATATTAATATAATAATTGCAATGGTTATAAAAACGTAGTTATAATTTTGTTTTGATTCTAATTTGAAGTGATATATCTGTGCAAAATGTTTAGTAAATTATGCAAATTCATGTTGTAAATTAAATATCTATGACAATATTTTTTAGTTATCATATCAATAAACTGCACCAAAATATTTATTGTATTTTTTCGAAAACTGATGCCAAACTAATTTAGAATACATACTCAAATATTTTGCATAAATGTACAAATTTAAATTATATATTTTTGAAAATAAACTCCAAAAGTTATTGTGTGCAAGTTCCATTAGTAGGTACGAAACATAATATAGGTAACAATCAAAGACTTTTAAACCGTTTTTAGTTACATAATATGTACCATTAGGGTATATAATTAAAATTAACTATTAGAAGTTATAAAAGAGATTAATGATTTTTCGACTAGTTATATATTATGATATTATAAATATTTTTATTTATTTGTGTTATTACACAATATTATGTTGCTTGAAAAAATATGATATAGGTACCTAGATACTTAATCAGTGCTGTACCGTAACTATTTTAAATATACCTAGGTAATTGTATAAGCTACCTACTAACCTAACTGTATTTATGACATAACATCATAGGGATATAATTAAATTAAATCGGTAGAATATCTACATTACCTATTACCTAATAATATTTTAGTAGGTAACATTTGTCTTTTTTTTCATTTATCCCAACAGCCAAAGACTATAAAAAGTTCGTGTCGGTGTCACACGGTTATGATACACGGCAGGATAAATATATTTAAACTATAAAATATGTAATTTTTGCATAGATATATAAAACTATTTTATAAACTGTTTTATATATCTATGAATTTTTGTTACTTTATTGATATCACTTCGTTGATTTGGGTAACTCAGTAGGTACCTACCTAATCGTCAATTGGGTATTTGGGTGGGTAATGTGTATATTTTTCAGCTATATTAAGCATGACGTTGATAATAATAATAATAATAATAATTTCTATAAAGCTATATTTATTCTGTATTATATTATTATTCGAGGAGTCGAGAAGCTATAATATATCTACAGTAAGAATTTTTTTTTCTTTCAGAACGGGTATTATAATTATATTAATCTTCAACTATGATATTTTTTGCGACTAAATCGTTGAAGCGTTTCAATGGAATCACTATATATTATTTACTGTGTATAAATATAACTGTTCGGACTGCGATGAGTTTAAATGTATTCAAATATAAATTGTAGCCTTGTGACATAAAAACTTTGAATTTATTTTTAAAAAAGAGAAGAAGAAAAAAGTTTAACGATCTTTTACATCGAAATGCACATTAACGAAACGCATTATGCAAAACATCGTCGCAGACTAATGCTTGGAACGGCCTGTTATATTTATTCTCTATACTATAGTCGCGTGCTCGAACCCGGAACCATTATATAAAATAATAACAATAACATGTCATTGCCATAACGATATAATATGTGTTAAAAGTCACCAGGGGAGTAATTAGGGGGATAGATCCCCCCAAAACTTTTTTATTACTGCTAACATTTTGATCAAAGTATTGATAATAACCATTCATGTTTGCTAAGAAACGTATATCCCCCCCCCAAACCAAATTACTAATTACGCCACTGAAAGTCACTTAAAACAAACATAGTAGTATTTTACTGGTACAACATTAGATAGGTACCTACTGATCAGTGGTGTTAATATAGGAATTTAATATTTTCACTATTAGCCAATTATCTACACATTCATTTTTTAAAGTGCTGTGGGAGCTTATAATCATGATTTTTAAATGATCATTACATTTTTGTTCATATATCGGAATTAACTATACTGGCATCGAAAATGTCCAAAAAGAAAAAAATTTGTATATAATATAATATATTATTATTATTATTATTATTACCAATTCGAAACCAACTTAGAATGTGACTTTTTTTGTTTTGTTTCGTTTCGACGGTTGTCGCGGCATTATGATATTATATTATTTTCTATGATCACAAAGAAACGTCTCCAATGTCCGTTTCGGGCCGTTTGCCTAGAGTTTGTGGGTTGCACGACTTCATTTCGAGATTACACTCGTACCGGTCGGCGTACGTCGCCGACTGTCGGTGTTCGTCGTGCGCCAAGCAGCACATTATCAGGCCCGGCGGATGGGCGGCGTCGCCGTTGTTGATGGGATGCGCCGGCAGCTCTTGGTGACCGGTCATCAGCTTGGTCATGCCCGTAGTGATGTCGGCGTCCAGCGAGACTTCCGACAATGTGCCCGGGATGTTCAGGAACCGTTTCCACGCTGACCGGAACTGCGGACGAAAATTAAATCAATGACCGTATTAGAATATTATAATAACACCATTTCAAAACGGTATACAACAATAATAAATCCGAGAGATTAAATCCATAATTATATTATACGAACAAAAAGTATCCAAAATTCGTTTAAACATTTATTGGTGACATAAAATCAATAACTAATAATTATAGTCTGTGAACAAATTGTTATAGGCTTACAATTTTTTTTGCAGTTTGTTGCCACCATCGGTTTTTTTCTCAAATATATTTTTTAAATATTTATGTATATTTTCTTATTTAAATTATGTTTTGGAAATAAAAATAATCCAACTGAAATTATTATAGAACCAGAGAAATTTAATAAAGGATCATCTAGCCACTTTTATCGGGCTATACGGACTTATTTTGTTTCTACTCTATCCACCTCTTGCAAACTTCCCTTTAACACCCACAACATTTGACAGCAATATTAATTTACGTCAAGTGAATTCCCACCTTTTAAAACCTTTTTACATAATTTAACAGTGTGCTTTTCACTGTTATCACAGATTTTAAAGTTCGATACAAAAACAAAAATATAAATTTATAAGTTTTAATTTAGGTTATAAGCTTATAAATGTCAAAAAAATCATATTTAACAAATATTCATTATATTAAATACGCAATTCACATGAACTAAATACGCATACAATGTAAAACAATTCTGTAGGTATATTACATTACACCTAAATATTACAACCTGATATGCATATACGATATAGGTACCTACACACCTACTCTAACGATCAATAATATTTCGGATCCTGCAGCAGCAGCTGAAATTATAGTCAACTGTCAATGGTGAACATTTTCAGTGGTGATGGGGGTGGAGCGTGATGTACACATTACACATATATAATATGCACAATGTTGTGTTGTATTACGTTTTTTTTATTTCTAAAGATATGACTTCAACGTCATATTATTTTAAACACAAAATGTCTTATAATAATATGACTATTGACTTGTACCAAGCTCAGGATAGGGTGCGGTGTACTATACACCTAATAGACACCGGTCTAGATAGGATTTACAAAGGAATGTTATGCTCCAACGAGTGCTGTTGTATTATGTCTAGGTGCTTGAATTGTGGTTGAACATTTAGAAGGGAAATATCGTTGTTTGGGATCATCCGTATGAATGCGCCAACAGTGAGTATGTAAATATACTTTACTTATTGTATTATATTTTCAAAAATACGAATAATAATTGAAAAATTTGATCAAAATAATGATGATAGAATTTTATTTAAATACCTACATATTACATTTTTATTCAAATATTTTCATATTTGAATTTTGAATATATAGGTTTTACTTTTGTTAGTTTTTTTTCTTTTGTTGAGGCTTGATTACTTGAATGACTATATGGTTATTACATCTCCAATCAAATGACAATATTTACAATTATTGTTATTTATAATTTATTTAAGTAGGTGTCTACCTATGTAATTTTGATATGTTAGTTCAAATGGGAGTTATTCTGCATTGATACAAATACTTTCTAAATGGTTAATCCTGAAAACTCCAGCTGCAGAGTATTAAATATGATATATATATTTTTGATGAATCGTAAATTATTTCTCCGTAGGTAATCGATTATATAGATAATAAGACGTGATTTGTGTTATGTCGTGATACCTTTATATTACATATTATCATTACAACACGTATACAGCGTATAAAGGGTTAGCTATCAGCTAGACTTTCAAAATTCATTTCAATTATTGTTGATCAAAACTATAGTAATATATATGCCATAGCTAAGAAGAATAAATTATGAACAAAACATAGAATGCTAAATGGGTGGTTTGGACATTGGTTCGACGTCATTAAAACGAGCTTGGAGTTGATACCGATTGTAAAGGTAGGTAATAGGATTATGTAATTGGAATTCCGTGAAACGTTCACAATAAAAATCCAGGGCCGGCGTTATATGTTTTAGACGGGGGGGGGTGAACTCAAGTATTTGCCGACTGAAATATAATTTATGCCGACTGTAAAAATGTCGACCAGTAATTTCTTAAAACAAACTATGTGAAATTTTGAAGTACCTATAAAAATTCTTGGTTCTTTTGTATAATATAGGCATGGTGCGCTAAAATAATTAAAATTTGATAAATATTTTACAACCTAAAAAACATTAAAAAAAAAAATTTTTTAAAAACTGATCTAAAACATTTTGAATACCTAGTTCTAGGCATATACCTAGTCTGTTTACTACTAATTGTTACTTGTATATCATACAGCCGCTAGCCGTACAGGTACAGGATTGTCTGAATTATTTAAGCTTTAAAAACTGTGTATTATTATTAAATCAATATAATATGATAAGGGTTATAGCCTATAGGAACCAAAATCTAAAATAAAACTTTGGCATCTGCATGTTACAATTATGGAAGAACCTAGGTAAACCATTGCCGTGTAAAAATTTATCAGGAACATAATTCATTAAAATGTGCTTGCCAGTGGTTGTTTTTTAAGTTACCCATTTGGACTGGTTGAAACTCTTGTCCAACTCTATTAAAAACTGAAATGACACCACTGACTGTAATAATAATAATATAGACCTACCACCCACAGCCCACAGATAGGAGCTTGAGATAGCGATTAGCGATAGACGATAGCATACCGATGGACGACGGTACTAAAAAAGTTATTATAGGTATTATATACGTACAGCAATTGGCAGTATTTTGAATTCTAAATCAGTAAACTCTTAAATTGTCAAGTGCGTTAAGTCGAAAAACAAGCTAGGAATTCTACTTTCCCTTATTTGTATACTAACACTATTGTGGAGTCAATATTCATTGTCTGATTAAATAATACATATCCATTTAAATTTTAAATTTTTTATAACATAGTAAACTATTAATAGTGTCATCCTCTGTAATTACCGATTTAGAAATGAAAATACGGCTGACTGCCGAACCTAAGAAAATCTAGGAAAACAGTTTTTAACAAGTCGTATAATTTCAGGCTTATTAAGAAAATGCCGGAGGGACCAAGGAGAATTATTGTGTTCTTGTGAGGTAATATGTCACGAAATTGTCACACCAAGGTCTATAAAATACAAGTTAGGTACTTGAAACTTTCAATCATGTTCAAACCATAGGTATCTACATACAAATATAAAGTTATATACTTAATACAATATAATTATTCTATGTACCTATAATAAATAAAAATATATAGTTGTTAAAGCAAGTGTACAGAATAATTTCATCCAATCAAAACTGTAGCAAAATACGAAACTTAAGTAAAAAACGTTTCCTTTTTCGTTTAAAAAATAGATATTTATATTTTATTTACATTGTTCAATAACGTCGAAAATGTAATTCTCGTATACAATTTGATCATTGATTCAATACGTTTCTATTTAGTATTGTTGTTGCACGAGTAGAAATAAGAAAGGATAGTATAGTATTGACTAGATGGAAATACTCATGAACACGTATGGGTGATATTATGGACATTTTTATCAGCAAAATTATGTAGTGGTGAATGGTGATAGCATGGTGCAATTTTCATATATTACTATTCAAATAGCTTGTGACATTTTTTTTTGGTTATTTTATTAGATATTAAACTAATAAACTATAAATCTTTTATAAATAAATAATTTAAAAATGTTATAATATTTTATAATATTAATGTTCCTAAATCAGTAAAACTTAAAGTTAGTCTATATTATTAAGTTGGAATAATTATCATCACAAGTCATATTTACAATCAAAGGCTAAAAACTAAATGTTGATATAAATATGTCAAATTAAGAATAATATCTAATTTCTAATTTCTAATGTTACTAAGTAGCTTAGTAAAAATGTGTTTCATTGCATCCGTGTATCAAAATAGTTATAGGCGTAATATTAGATATGTATATAGAATTGCGGGATATTACAAATTGCAATCACAATCAACGAGATTCTGGATGTGCTAATTACTAATAATTAATAGTTGATGAAAAGATATTAGAAATTTAGAATACTGTTAATAATAAAATCTATTATTTTAACTATAAATAGGACAGGGACTGATTGCCGTATATATATAGTATATACTATATTCTTATACCAATAAAACATTATTATCATCGAAATGAAATAAATGTTATAAATATTAATGAATTATAGTACCTATATAATAGTCGTGTAATTTCAAAACCAGCCAAAAGCACTTTTTTTGAAAACTGTTATTTTCGTATTTTCTAAATGGTCACACTCTATTAAAAGTGCTGTAAAAATATTAAACATTAAATAAGGCTATAACTGGTCTAAACTGACCATGGAAAATTTTGGTTGGTATCAAAATCACCCATCTGGCGATATTTATTTCAAAACCAGACTTAACAATGTTAATTAATTAATATTTTGATTTTATTAAATTTTGCAATGTTAGTTTCAAAACCACCTATATCGCAAAGTAAATTTCAAAACCAGCCATGTACATAAAAATCTACAAAATGTTGGCTTCAAAACCAGCCATAATATAACGAAATTGGGAACAAAACCAGCCATATCGAAACTAGAAATGTTAACTCTGAAGAGTTGTAAACTTGTAAACGCTTGTAATAATATTTTTATAAAACACCTATTCATACACAATATGTATACATTCCAAACCTATGAGTTCATATTCATAAAAAAATCATAGAGTAAAATTTTAAGGTCTTTTTCGTTTTTTGTTATTCTTGAAAAATTTCAAAAAACGGTTATGACTGGTTTTGAAACTACACCCCATTTATTTAATTATTTAATAATTTACCTACACCTATATATTTTAAACACTGCTCATCAACTATATAGAGAAATAGGAGATACCTACCCGTATATAGGTACTTAAATATTACATGACTATGGGGTATGCATTCCCACGTCCTACTAATTTTTCATCATCATAATATTTTATAAAAAAAAATATATATGTATTTATTGTATTGAGTAAATTTCAGTCTCTGCTAATTCTGGCCTTGTGTGGACAGTAGGTGAATTACATTTCAATGTTTGTTTAGTTAGGTGGCTCATTTGGGAATATGTACCTACTTACAGGGCTACAGCTACAATCATACTTGGCTTAGCTACTTCGGTTATTAATATATTAATACGTGTTCGTAAAATATTATTTATTAAGACTACAGTGACTACAATAGTATAGTGACTACACCTATGTTTTGTGTAGGTGGTACTTGTTTTAAGTTATTATTCCATGCCTGATCGAATACTAAAAATAACATAATTGATAATAAATTATTGTATAATAATTTATAATATTGACAATAACTTGCAGTTGTAAACTTAAATTACTAATAATGTAACATCGGTAAGCAAACAATGCAAATTTTAATCATAGGTAATATATTGTGTGGGGGACGGAGTGGTAGAGCGGTTTAAGACGTCGGCTGCAACTCTGGCTCGATACCTCGGTCATGGGCGGCATTTTTCTTCGGGCAAGTCATCCCGCCATCCCACAACCAGATGCCTACGGTTGCCCAATCAAAAATTCTGCCAAACAAACACACACGTGTTCCTCCCCCTACCGACATAAGAACCTACAAAACCAAAACAGTTAATGGCCATAGTCACCGGGCTTGAGATAAAATATAAAAAATATATTGTGTTATAATAAAGTATAATTATAGCCCTATATACTTATTTGGTTATAATGCGAATCTACGAAAAATACAAAAAAATAAAAATAAAAATACCTCAGAATGTCATTCATTTTAAAAAAGCCATAAGTTAAAATGTTCTATTACAAACTTTTAAATACAATCACAAAATGTAATTATAATATCCATATGATCAATAATTTGTTTTTAAATAAAGTTTATATTTGTAGTATCAAAAAAAAAAAAATAAATATAAATTATTATGTACGTTTTGTCGGTACCTATTTATATTATTAATTATTGTAATAATATGTTGACACAACCCCATTATTCCCAGTATACCTTCTATTTACTTAAAACTGCATGCAACATGATTTACACATTGTTGATTATAGTGATTAACGATTATTGAGTTGGGACAATTGAGAAATTACCGCAGCCATATGATTGTGTTTCGTGTTTACCTATATGTGAAATTTGTGAAACGTCACTAACATGATTATTCTCTTCACATTATTTCCTTGACTCATCGGTCCTTTAGAATTTTAGAGTATTAACTATTATTATTATTATTATTATTATTATTATTATCATCATCATCAACCAAGGGTATGCTTTTTCTCGGATATTTTTTACCGAGGGTATTTTGTTCCGTTTTCCGGTTATCGTTTAAATTCAAAACAAAATATTATATTATGTACCTATTTTACAACAATAATAACATCGGTATACGTTGACGTAGCCTACCTGCGTATTGAGTCCAATGTATATAATTGGATTCCAGCATATGCTCGACTTGGCACACAAAGCCGGTATTATGCTGACGACCGGACTGATATGAACGCCGCCAAATGCAATCATGAGAGCTAGCACCGAGTACGGCATCCACGCTGTTAAAAACGCCAATATCATTACGGCCACCATAATGGCTACCCTGCATTCTGCTTTGGTCGCTTGTCCGATGATTTTTTCAGTAGCTCTCTGTTTAACGCAAAACATTGTAATGTCATTATGTCACTGTCGCTATGATAGCGCGCAGAGGGAGTTTTTAAAAAAATATTCCACAGTTTTTATTTTCGTCTCTACTATATTATATTATTATCTCGACCGGGCCGAAAGAAACGTTCAAGATGATATTTTAATTTATATAACGAAACAACAACGTCAAAACGTCATTTTGGAATCCGATTTCATTCGATCGATTGATTTGACTATATTATTGTATATATATTTCGACAGCCGAAAGAAGTGTGCACGATAATATTTTAATTTATATAACAAAACAACAACGTCAAAACTTTATTTTGGAATCTGATTTTCTTCGATTAAATTCAACGGAAATTACAGTCAATATTTAATATATTTTTTAATTTTTAGGCATAATTATTATTATAACAATTAATAAAAGCGCATAATTCAGTTGTACTCGTATATAGTTATATTAATTTGTGTTCCGATTACAATACAGTTCTCCGTCAAGAACTGTAAAATTGTTGTCCATTTAACTATCTTGTTTACCGCACGAAGTACTTTCCCTCCCCCAATTTTTAGTTAACTTTGAAAGCCATGATAACCATTATTGTAAACTAAACTTGTTGCTACATAGGTATGTATTGGCGTGTATCAGGTACCTGGTACATGTAATAGCCGTATCCAGTAGGGGCTAATGGGCTTAAGCCCTTTCCGAAATGTCAAACGATATTTTTTATATCAGTATAATAATCCTTCACGATAACATTTATTTTTTTGTCATTGAATATTAAAGCCCCTCCAATTGAAAAATCTTAGTACTGTTACTGGACCTGTACATATATTATGTTGAACTAGACCTAATACCTATATAATATTGGTTTTGCTAAAATTGTAAATAACGTATTAAGGCATCATGAAGGTTTATATTTTGTATACATTAATTTATAGTAGGTATGATTGTATTTTTTCCTCTTATAATTATTACATGCATAACGTTTAATTCCACTATTCAATAACCGACTCAACTCGGGGCATGGGTTTGACATGACTATAGATATTCTTTTTAGTATCGGAAATTTAATTTGCGGACTAAAGGAAATATGAATCATACCTATTCTCGGTATTTCTTGATACACGAGTACATGACTAATTAGATTGTTTTAGTGAATTTGAATAGTAGGTATAAAATTATTATGATCACACGGCGTTCTGGGTAGGCTATTTAGCTACATTGCTGTCATATGTCTTTTTGAGAGTATTTCATAATTGATTATAATAATACAGTGAGTACCGCTTAATCAGGTCATTTTGATGTTTATTCTATAAACCAGTAATCACATTAAGCAGACCTCACTGTATAATATTATGTGGTGTATTTTATTTTAGATAGAGAAAATTAACTTAATTTATACAATCAAATAACTTGAGAAAAAAATTCAAACTGAGTAAATATGTTTATTTATAATTAAAATTATAATATATGATTTATTATTTAAATATATAATTTTTATCAAAAATCTTAATATTTTACCTTTCTAACTGTAACGACGAGGCTCACATACGAATAGATAATCACTGTAACTGGTAGAAATAGTCCAAAAACAAATATGTAGATAACATAATTGCTATGCTCACCACTTTCCCAGTCTATTGAACAGCTAGAAAATATTGTTTAACTTTACTAAAACGACAAGTGACAGCCTAGATTTCGTGATTAACAGTATAAAATCACTGTCCAATAATTATTACCATTTATCATAATTTATTTTACATAAGTTATAGTTATTGAAAAACAAAATGTTTAATAAAAAATTGTTTTTAAGTTTTACTTTTTTAAATGACACTATACATTATTAGTATCATGAAATAAAAACGTTTAATATTTTAAAGATGTTGAGTGTTATTTGTTAAAAAAATTACCCTGTATATAATATAAGTTAATCAAATAATTGTTAATTTAAATAATATAATATCATAATTTGTATGCACAATGATGAAAATAAACGATAGTAGTAACAATATTAATAAGGAAAACTTATCCATAAGGAATAGAAAACCTTCTCTGGATAACTAATATCGTAACAAGGTTCCTCCGACCACCTTACACTACATCAAAGTAACTAAAATTTAAAATATTACTATTAAATAAATTACATAGAATGTAATTACTTTCATTTTTTATACTCTTCAACAATAATAAGTAGAAAATATTTAAATTCCTATTATGATTGACTTTTGAAAGGATATTTTACTGTGTTGAAATATTGTTCTAAATAAATTTCTCTCGGTGAATAAAAAATATGATTTCGCGACCAATTGCCAACATCGATTTAATATACAGCTAGTACTTAACTACTATTTGCTATATATTTATAAAAGTAAAATATTTTAGAAATGTTATTTCTTGCCGGTAGAAATTACATTAGCGAGAAGAGAATCAAAATTAGGATTACTATTAATTTATATTTGAATACTATTGTATTTTTAGAAACTTGTGACTGAAAAATAAAACATATGTATTTCGGTAATTTCGTTAAATTGTCTACAATATTATGTTGCAATAATAAATCTGCATAGATTAATGCCATTACTATATAGGTAGTCGTATAATACTTATATTAGAATTTAATGAGTTTCGAAATGTGGCAATCATCGTCCCTTTTCTGTAAATATTCTTTTTCGATGAGTTACGTCATTGCCAGGTTCAGTATTACCTGATGTTTGCAGATTCGTTGACGTAACGATTCCATCCGAACAACGGAGGTCCTGTTACAGCAAACGCATATATCCATATTCCAACTATTGCGTATAGTGCAGTTTCCTTGGTCAATCTGCTGCTGCTGAACGGATAGCGTATCATTAAATACCGATCGTATGCCAACACCGTTAAGGTCGTTATTGACGCAATTCCTGAAAAAAAAAAATGTAAAAATAAATACACTCTGCAATTATTGGAAAAGTTATAAGTGAATAGAACTCAAATAACTATTACAATAATAATAAAAAAAATTACCAATATTGTATAATTGTTGTTTTTATGATATTATAAGTTTAAAAACAAAATACGTTGGCCAAATGTATAATTATTCAACAGCCATAGGTTTGCCATCAAATGGAAGTATTAGTATTTTTTAATTTTTTAATTTATTACATTGAATATTATAATAGATAATACATTTTATGGAATTAATATTACGCATGTAGTATACCATCTTAAAATGAGAATACCTGAACTTAATTGTTCCTTATTATTCCCGATTATTAGACATGTAATTATCGTCTTTTATACATTGGAAATAGATTTTTATCACATTGGCGAATTTTAAATCACTGATTGTTATAGCGTATAGAGTATAAACTATATAATATAGTATTGACTTATAAGTTATTATAAATTTAAAATATATTAAATCATGCAATGGATATATTATTTATAAATTCTTAATTAGTATGGGTCAGATCTTATAGGAGTAATTTTATCAATATTTAGTTTATTGAGTCATTTATTTGATAAAATTATAATTTTTAGTTAACGATATTTAATTGTATTATTATTTATGACATCATTAATATTGATCAATTAGTGTTTTTAGTAGAGATTTTTATAGTTTTCCACTTTTCCTTAGTACTGCATGAAATTTAAAACGTGTACTTACCTATTTTAATATGTAATAAATGTTGATGAAAGTAATAATATTATTTAATATGCTCGTAACATGATTAAAAGATATTTTCTGGTCGAAGAATTTTAGATAATTTATTCCACCTACTTGAAATACCATATTATTAAAGGATACTGGATAAATAATTTTAATATTATTTAGTATGCTTTAAAAGTAACAAATAAACTAGTTAAGATCAGACGAACATTATAAGTTTAAGGTAAATTTATTCTATACTCCATTTTTCATAATATTAATTTAATTATTATAATTTGATTTTTGTTTGTAAATATATTCTACTTATGTAAGTGTTAATTCAATATGACTTATACAAGTTGCACTTACAACGCTAACAACATAAATAACATTTTGTTCAAGAAATTCGAATTTTAAGAGATCTATATTACTTTATATCAGTGCAATTGGTAATAAATACATAATTTGCTTTTATTTTACAGGAAGTTTTAAAACATTTACATAAATAAATCATTATTTATACTACGCTTATTCATTTTTAGTTGAAAATGTCATAAAAATATAATTTATCCCTGTACTACTTATAAACAACATATGTAATAAAGTTCATATTTTTCAGGTAGATATAAATAATACATATTTGCACAAAAACTTTAAATTTTATTACGGGAATCGCATAAATAAAATCTATAGGAGCGTGAAAAGCTAAGGAACTTAATTCTCAACTAAAACGTAAAGAAAATATTATAAGGTCAATGCTGTAAATCACGTAGGTAAAGCTTGTTGATTGTTGCTATGCAGGACCCCATTTAATGACTTCAGGATTAAGTATATAATTTAATATGTGGATTTTCAGATCCCATCCATCACGTTATCGTTATGACTAGTGGAAAATGTTAACATAAGTAATAAAAAATATTTCATCTAATATATAAAAATATCGTGTCACGGTGTTAGTGACCAACACTCCTCCGCAACGGCTCGACCGATTGTCATGCATTTTTTTTGTATATTTGGTAGGTATGAGAATAGGTAGCAAAGCATTTTTCACCTTCCTAAAACCACCAAGAGAGGCGTTCGAACTGGGATTTTGAGATTTACTGTGGAATTTGTGTTTATAAATGGATGCTATTGGCTATAGGAGAAAAAATTAGAAGAAATTAATATTTATTTATTATTGGTTGCCATTGGTTATTAGAGTAGATCAAGTACAATCTTGCATCAAATCAAATTTTCGAACATTGCCAAACCAACTACCAAAGTGGATGAGTTGCCCTTTTCCGCGATCCGACAAGTCGGATACCACGAAGGCTGAGTTGCACTTACTCCAGCGAGTTACACTCAAAATGAGTTGAATAATCATAATTTTATTTAGAGTTTTTTACTTGAAACGAAGTGCACAGGAGCAGCTAAATTTCCTATAAAAATAGGTAAGTACTTAATATTATTGGAATACATACACCATTATTTTATTAATATTATTAGTTAATTTCCAATACTGTGGAAATTCGAATTAGTCACTTCACTCATAATAATATATAATGTAAGTACCTATCCTAAGTTATTAAATTTATACAGGTTTTTTTTAAACAGATAAAAAAGTAGGTAGGTAATTTTTTTTATTATTTTATTTATTTATTTTTATTAAAAAAAAAAATAATAAATAAAATAAGTTATAGGCTTATGTACATTTTTTATAATTTTAGATTATTTTAAAGTAATTTTAAGTTTTTTGGTTTAGCGATAAATGTATTGATTTTACAATGATGTGTGGTTTTTTTTTGTGTGTATACATGATAAATAGTACAAAAAATGCTTCTATCTTCAAATTTTAGGGTAGATTCTCGTAGGAAATTTGGATCTTTTAGTTAGTTTTGAGTAACCAAAATTAAAAATACCCATGGTTTTTTAAAGTACCTACCTATTTAGGAAAAACAAAAAAAAATGAAGCCATAACAAGTATTTTTACGTAAAACCAGTCTTTGGCGAAATTGATAAAATTTTAATAACTAAAAAAAAATAATTTTACACTTGAAATTATTACATATTTGTTATATTATCATTTTCTATATATTGTAAAACTTTCAAAATAAATTGACTCTTATTGAGCTGTTTATATGCATTTGACATTTTTGATTTTTTTTTTTTTTTATAAATGTTAATAAAATAAAATGGATTTCATTTTGTCAAATAGTTCCAAAATTTCATAATAGATTCTACATAAGTTTGTATTATAGAAAATTAAAAATATTCATAACACCTAAAGAGGCACGATTTTTTTTATAAGCATTTGAAGTTCAAATTTTGACAAAATTATTCAAAGTTTAAAATTTAAAAATATATAAACTTGATTTTATTTTATAGACATTTGAACGAAATTCGATATTTAAATGATTTAGTTATTATGTTGTGTTCAAAAATATTTTGAGTGGGAATTTAAAACTTTTACGTATACCTATATTATTATGTTTTATACACACACAAGCCATTTTAAAAATATTTAGGTAATATGCTATTTATTATTTATAGTTATTATAGGGGGGGGGGGACTAAGGCGTTGTTTGCGAAGCCCACCTTTACCAATTCGAATCCCGGCCGTGGGTGGCACTTCTGTCCTGGCAGTCAATGTGTCTGGAGAGAGATGCCACCATCCCCCACCCCGACATGGTAGATACCAGCTAAGAGCGAGTGTCTCCGCTTGAAAATTCTGCCAAACTAAAAACACACGTGTTTACAACCTACAATACACTCCCCCACAGTTAAAAACCACCCAATGGCCCAAGTTGCAGAGGGTTAATTAATGAAAAAATAAATAAATTCTTATACTATATTAATAATAGCAAAATAAATTACTATAATTATTATAAAGGGACCCGGAAACCCGGTGTCAGTTTTTCAAACTGTCCTTAATTTTATAAAACTTGAAAATTATATATATTATATATTCGTCTCAGCCGAAGCCATAGACCTCTCGGCCACTCCGTCCCCCTATTTTATGTTTAGTTCCCATCTTAATTAAATACTTTCCACTAATCGACTACCCGATACCTATTTTATTTTATTTCAAATAATGGTATAATATAATTTATAAAAAAATGCTTAAAATTGTATTATTTTTGAAGACATATTATAAAGTTTGAGATTAAAATATTGAAAAACGGAGGCTGTGGAATATTACCATCTATAAGTTAAAAATAAAATTATCAAATTAGGTTTATTCTACAGAACAGGGTCATTATTCCCGTAGAGCGTATTTTTGTATACAAAATTACATTGTCACCGGGCGCCTTAATAGCAATACACTTATATTATAATAGGATGACAGACGGTCTCCATTCAGAATTGTTTTGTCTTTCGTATGCAATGATTTATCATTGAATTCAAAATCCAATGACGAGTTACACTCGACTCCTACCATACAGCAGAGTGGTTATCTCCTACTTTCCCCTTTTTGTATTCACACATTTGTTATGCATTCACTTTACACCCAAGTATTTTCACTTCAACAGTACCCAGTTGATTCGGAAACTAAAATATGGTCTCAAAGACTCTCGTAAATAGTTTATTGTTTACCCCTTATACAACTGGAAAATACTTGTCGGCTACTTAAAAGGAATTTGGTGTGCATATGACATATTGCAAAAATAATTGCCTGTCAAATTATTGTTAGCAATTTATTTTTAAACATGAGGCTTTGTAATGTATTTTAGACAGTCAATTGTAATTCACTGAGAGAAATTTAGAACATGTTTGAGATTTTGAAACAAATTAACCTGAATAATTTAATGTAAGTGTATATAGGTCTATATATTGTATAACATTGCATTTTTAATTAACACCCGCAGTTTTACTAATTTTATTGAGTTATATTCTGAAGCAAAATAATATTTTTTTTGTATATAATATATATTTCATATAGTACTAATAGTCAATTATTTACAAACACTCAAGTTTGAAGAATAGTGGTATTGGAGTAGCTGAAGATTTCCTTCGTTATTGCGGTGCACAATAGTCAATATATGTATATACTGTACGTTTATATAAGTATTAGAGTAGGTACTAGACAACAACATTTGGGTTGAAATAACAGTAAACAGTATACTTACGTGTGAATTTCCTATGCAATCACACCTGCCAAATTTGTACGAAGTTTATACTTTAATGTGCACTTACTGATTCGTATCGTTGGTTTACGACAGAATCGCGATCATATCATACTTATGAAAAATAAACACATTTTACAGCAGTAATTCACGAGAAGTGTATTTATTTAAATTTCTATTGGTAAAAACCTTATGATAAAAGTGCACTGACATCGTGTGATGTCTTCCTCCTCCAAATATATCAAAACCTTCGAGTTGTCAAAAGTCGAAACATTTTTTCTTTTCAATGTTCCTCATTGTTTTGACATTTTCATGCACAAAAGTTTTTCCATAGTGCACGATTGAATTACATATGGTTTATGAAAACAGACGTCTCACTTACGATATACAAAAATGAAATTTGGTATGCACAGACTACAATCAGTGACATCATCACCAAACATTTTTATTTCACACTTTATAGATATATTTTTAATTTTTTATAGAAATAATAAAATGTTATTTTTGTTTTTTGTACATTTATAATAAACACTTTATTTTATATTTGGATGTCTTGTTAAGCTTTGTGGAGTTTAATTTATAACTTTTGATGTGTTCAGTGAATGCAAACTATTTTTCTATTGGTATTTCGAAAATGTTGAAATAAGTTATGGAGGGTTGCATTATCGTAAATATTTAATTTATGATAAATTAGTAATTACCATTGATATTATCATCCGATTCCTTGTTAAAATGGATCAGTATTTAAAAGAGCAATATTTATTCTGACTCTTAACTGACTTAAACGAATTGTGAGTGCTATAATACCTATAAAGATTATTGCAAATGACCGAGTGAAGCCTCTAGTTTGTATGATATGATAAACTAACTGTTGCAACAACAGTATGAACAACTAAACAATTATTGTAAGTGTTATCTTCGGAATACAGTTGTATACTGCTGCAAAATTTCTGCAAGGAATGGATGGGGTGTTGGGCACTATCGTCAGCCGTTTTGTGATATTCAACTCGATGCGTTAAGTAAAATCCTTTTAATTGGATCGTGAGTTCAATATGTGTATACTTATACATTATGAACATATTTTATTAAACTTTAGCAGAATTATTTGAGGCGAGAATTAACGATAATTTGTCGTCGATAATGAGGAACTAGAATTTTTATAAGATTAAAAATTACAAAAACAGGAAATAGGATGAGTAACATTACGTCTGATAGGAGTATTATTAATCTGAAGCATTAGAACAACGATTTATAAACACCTAGATAGTTAAGTTTATATAGTATTACCCAGCTATAATATACAATATGCTTTTAGCATTGTAGGTGTGTGTTCTTTCACATCAAAGTGTTGGTAGTTGAGGTTTTATTTGAAATTCTTTACCCAACATATTTATTTGGTACTCCACCCTATACCGTTAAATGAGAAGGAACTTCTCCAGTGCAGTGGCAATGAATTACATATATTCCTTTTATCTTCAGGAAAAATGTTAAATGTGCATTGCGCACACATAAAGTAAAAAGAAAAATGTAAAAAAAAAATTCAAAAAATTAAACAGTGCCAGTATTGCTGATTGTATAAAATATATTTGCAACTAAAAAATACTTATTTGGCATTGATCGGACAAAAATTGCTAGGCCATGTTCACAAAACAGTTTGAAAATGTTCTAAACGCCACATTATATCTATACCTATAATATTGGACATTGAATATAATTTCTATTGAAAGGAACAATAATTTTTATTGTCCACAACGATGTACTGTAATGATATTATACACGTTATGATATATCATTATTGTGTTCGATTATATTTAGATTTAAGAATATAAATTAAATAGTACAATTATCATCAGCTGTATAAGTACAAATTATCAATACATTATTCTAAAATTATAATGACACACACACATGAAAAAGTATGAGCGATTACGGTCAAAGGCGGCATCTCACATCATTATCTATAAAAACCCATACGAAATACACAACGGGGCGCAGTCACTCATTCAACCAGACTTAATTATTGTACATTTTCATGCTTAAATTGTGTTCTTTTAAAATATAAAAATAAATCAATCACTTTTATGCAGATGCATTAATAATTCTAAAATATAATCTTATCATCGCATACTTAGTCTTTAATTAATTAATTATTTATCATATTATATTAATTTTAAATCATATTTTTAACTCAACGTAGGGCTCGAAAGGTCTTTGACTATAAATGTTAAAATATGAAATGTGTGATTCTCAATGGTTAGTTTAATGTGTGTTGGGCCAAAAACCATAAGAGGTTGATTGTCTACTAAATTAATCGTTTGATTTAAGATTGTTTACCCCTTTGGTAAAGTATAATGTTTTATACAGAATATATTTTCTCCGGTACCTATCTATAATTATTTTAATTTCTTTTTGGTTTAGCTGCGCATATACAATATGTAGAGTGTTTGGGTTATTAGAGATTTTTAATATGTTATTTTTATTTGAGAGTTTGGCCGGCTTAAAAGTGTATGGTGTACCATGAAGATTAAAGATGACGAAGTCACACTCCATTGACAAGCGTAAATAAAACAGACCCATTTTCTTCCTCACGAAATAAACAATGAAGGATCCAGGGCTTAATTTTGGAAGGAACATGAGGGGGGGGGGGGGTAAAAGTACAAAGGGTTCCGAAATTGGCTACAAAATTGGCTAAACACAGTGTAAAACAAAGGAAATCTAAGGCGATTGAGGAGGGGAATAGTATAATAGTGTATACTTAATTATTTTCTTTAACTTTTCTTGTTAAATGGTGAATCAATATTTTCGAATTTGTATTTTATTTTTTGTCTTATAACAGTTTAATAGACAAGCATGATTTTATAACAGCTCTCTTTTGATTTTTAACGAAAAAAATTATGGTATAGGTACCTAAAACATTTGTAGCATTATTTATTTTTAAAATACCAGCAAAAAATCGCATACTGTATAGTGTATAGTGTATTGGTGTATCATACAATACATATTCTATTAGAACTATTGAACTACATTCAACCTGGTGGCGATCCTTGTACCTTTTATTATACTGGCAAAAATCGGTCTAGTTTTATCAGTTAGTGTAAGCTCCTTATCTTTAATCTTCATGGGTGTACCTAAGTCATGTAGAAAAAAAAATTTGAAAAATTGAAAGAAGTTTAAAATTTCAGTCGTTGAAAATTTTCAATGTTGCTGAATTTAAAGCTTACGGCTCAATGTATATTTCTAATTAAAAACAATGTGATGTCAACTAATAATTACCAAATAATGCCATAAAAAATCCATAGATAACACATATAGTTTGACCGAAAATCCAGCCTTTAGTAATGGCAGCGGCCAAGGTAACTGGGTTTCCCAGTACAGACACTGCTAAGTCGGACGTTGCTAAGTTGAATATTATCACGTTTTGAGGTGTCCATAGCTAAATAAAAAATAATTTTAAAATTAATCGAGTGTTGATAATAATGTACCTAATAAATAAGAGAGTATTTTTAGTTAATAACTTAAAATGTAGGTATACAATATGCATTATACATGTTATACTTAACTGTTGGCATTGTATTTTATGGGTTCAACTTTGAACCTTGAACAGGTATAAATCATTTTTATGGCACGATGTTACGATATATTAAAGAGTGTGTGACGTGGTTGATGCTTAAATCCACAAGTCACTGAACTATATAATATTATATAGTTCAGTGCCACAAGTGGACACCCATCCGGGAAGAAGTTAAAATGGACTCAGTTAAAAACCAATCATGTTTAGTAACTGCATGTGTACCTACCTAGCACACACATCATGCCATATTTATATAATTTTGAAGATAAAACATCATTAAATATTCTAAGGATTAATTTTAAATATTGAATTAAAGTGTTCGTACTTACTACTTCGTTTGTTTTAAAATACACAATAAAGAAAGTTATAAATTATGATCAAATTATTTAATATCAAACTACAATTCAATACGAAGTGGTAGATAACGGAAACTTAATTATTAAAATTATAATGTTGTGAAGAAGTACTGAAAATCTAAGGAACGCTGCCTCGAATAACTAAAGTTTTAAGTAGGTATATTATTTGTGCATAAAATATATTGTATACGTAGCTTAATCATTATATAATATGTCAATACCATGGTTTATTTTAATCGGTTGCTTTTTGACTAATTGCATTATTTACCCTTGTATCCCTAATCATAATGAAAATGACACAGGTGTTGAAAATAAATCCAACTATTCCGATAATACTCAGTACGATGGCAGCACCTAGGTAGATGGCATCTGAAATGTGCTGTGGCTGAGCGTATTCTCCGTTCATAAGGACACATCATAAGACCACATTGAATGTTTGACATCAACGTATTTGGTTTACAACAGTGCCTAAAAAAATATAAAATATTTTAGTTACAGTAATTGGTTATTGTGAAATAATCTACAATAAATAAATGCATATCTTTATATGTATATATATATATTGCTGTCCGTTAGTCCCTCTAAATCTCAAAAACTACTCGACAGATTTGAATAAATTTTTTTTGTTCTGTTCGTGACATTGTCACGGCAAGTTTTGTATGAAATAACTTTTTTGAAAAATCTACAGAATAAGGCAACAAAGTTGTAATGATATCTAAGTTCTTAACTCGATACCGCATTGCACTAATATTATGAACGTTGTCTTTATATACTGTTTGGATAGACATTAGTCGTAGTCTTTATATACTCTATGGGCAGACGTAGTATTTACCATAGTAGAAGTAATTAGGTACTTATATCTAGGGTTGTTATGTTTAAAACATGGAACATTTGTTTTAAACGTTTTGTTCATTGTTTAAAAAGAATAAAACATACGTTTAAAACAGTGTAAAATTCAAGTGAATAATGTGTTTTTTTTTTTGTTTTATTATTAATAATAAATAATAATAGATCATCATGTCCTATAATATAAGCTTGTACCGATGAATTTTTGATATTTTGCACATGACGTTATACCTAGAAATATGTACGTTATACTTACAAATATTTAATTTCAAATTAACAGGTGATCATTATCTACCTAGTTAATAGTTATTATATAACATTTACAATGTTTAATTAAATTTCATGCTATAATGTTATATCTTTTATCCTTCAATTAAAAATAAATCAATACACTACATAAAAGAAGAAAATTAGCAAGGAATAACTAATAAGGATATTAATTATTGTGAAGGTTTGAAGTAATATGATGCTAGTGACAGGTAGTTCTTCGGTTCTTCCAAACAGTTCTTCCAAAAGATCAACAATTAAAATGATTAATGAGCCGTCACAATCTTCTAAACAAGTCAATGAATGGGAGACAAAAGATATCTCATTCTTATTAATTGGACATCGGGAGAAAAAATTTAGTACTATAAAATAATATGCTCAATGCATTGAGTTTTTTCTTCTGAAATTAACGATAAAAAAGAAAAACTTAAGAATTACACTATCGAATGACACTCAAATTTATATTCCTAAGCAAGGGTTTATAAATAAATGTTATAAAAAATAATTCAAAACTAAGCCAAAATTGAAATTAATACGTAATATTGTTATAGGTAGTAATTTATTATTATTTATGATTAAAATTCAATCTAAAATTATTAATTCGTCTAAACTTTAAAACAATTTGATATTTCTTTGATGCAAAAATTAATGGTTGAGTTATCAAAGTTAAAGATAATGAATATGTACTTTTATGTTTTAATAGAAAACTCATTATTTAAAAATGAATAATTTATTGTAATTTGTAATTTATTAAAAAGACGTTTTGACCTAAATACCTAATAGCTCATATTTATAAAGATAATACACATTGCCAACTGCTATGGACATTATTACAAGTCTAGTGAAAATTATTTTAATTAAACTATTAACTGGTTAGATGATGAAAAAATATATTTGGATTAAAAAAATAAGAGTGGAATAAGAGTGGAATTAAAAACTTTTAATATTCCTTCTGGCACCTTGATAATATAGTTTTTGTAAAATTCCTTTTTTTGTACTAGAGCTTCAACTACAACGGTTATTACTTATTCCACTTATCAGCTATACCAATACAATTAACATTTATGTTTATAGGCCCATAAAAAAATTCTTTTGTTCCTATTTGAAAACCACACATTCAACAAAATTGACATGAAAATATCTGTATTAATATGATTAATACATTTTTTATTTCTATAATATATACCTATTTCAAAAAAATATTAGAAATATTTAGAAATTCACATTATGTTTATTCGTTGAGTGTGACCTTTGTGAACACCTGAAGAATATTATATAAAGAAAACAAATAACACGTATCTTCTTGGTTTATAGATATTTTGTTTAAACAAATAAATAAAAAAAATCTAACATAGGGAATGTTTCGAAAAATTTTCCGACGAAAATAATGAGTTATTAACAACCATTAGTATTACCATTGATTAAATATAATATGTAGATATGTTGTAATAATGTAACACCTATTATGAAACTACTTGACACTTGTATAAATATTATAAATTGTGGCTCTGCTCGGCGCAGTGGCTGAAATCAATCTCGCAACGTGATTTAGAGTAAGCAACGGCCGCTGCCACTAGTTCCCGGATGGGTGACCACCAGGGTCCATAGTGTCAAAAACCTTGCCACACATATACGCGTTTCCAACCCACCATACCAACCTCTCCAACCCTACCAACCGAAACCTCCACAATAGCTAATGGTCATAGTTACAGGGCTCTAGACCAATAAAAAAAAATATATTATAAAGTGATAAAATAAAATATGGTCATTGTGTTTTTCAACAAATAAATACATTTACGAAAAGTGACAATAAATAAATTTAATCAATCAATATAAAGCTTCTTATAAATTTGGTCTCGAACGCAGTATATTTCAATACTACCTATATTGCCTACACACATTACGCCTTTCGAACAGTGATGTGTCTACTAGGTACTGAAAAAAATCGTGTGTTTCCCACGTAGGTTTAACCCACCATTATGATGACAAGAAAAAATATTTCTCGCTTCGCATGGAATTAATTTTTTCTTCAAGAAGAAGATATTTTTTAAGTGGGTAAAAATTAATAGTTACTAATTATCGAGCTTATAGATTCTCAACTTTGATTTGGAAATTAGTTCTATATTTTGATAATCACCTGATATCTATAGATGCCATTTGAGAATTGAAAATCGTTATTAATTTATTATAGAATATTTTGCTTACGTCATCGAAAGGCGAAAATTCCAATATCTATACAGTATACGCCATAGATACGCCTATACCGACGTATCCATCATAAACGGTTGAGCATACACCAAAATTATTTAGAGGGAAGTTAGTATACCTACGCCCCCCCCCCCCTCCTGCCACAATGCACCACTGGATACAAGTGATCCACGACAGGTAATTTATCAGTTGTAATTTTTTTTAATATAAGTGATAAACAGTAATCTTGTTTTGGAAAATTATTATTATGTGTTTATTTTACTAAATCATTTGAAAACAATTCCGAACGATGTGATATTACAATAACGTCAAATAAGAGTACTTTTTATGGTTGTAAATAAACGTTCTGTACTGGTAATTTTTAATATTATGTTTTCAAGTCACTCAAAAAATAAACACCTTCAACATTTTGCTAAAAACTATATTTTGCATCAGTAAAATCAAATATTCTGCAATAAAAAATAAAAAAATATTGTGCAATATTGTTGAACTCTACGATAGGTACATATTGTGTACATTTTGTGTTACAAAAAAATAGTCAATATGGGTTTTATTAAAATAGAAGTTTGCCGTGAACATAATACAATACTTATATATTTGTTGCTTGTATCAATATTGTTCAATATGCGATATCCCCCATCACAATCCAAAAACGGAATACCCACTTTTATACATTTTAAATATTATTAAAGTTTTTGTAAAAAATTTTTTCGGTTTAAAATATTCTAAGTATACATTCCATAAATATCATATTCGTACATTAACAAATACGTTTTCTGTAACAATTCAAATCTGTAATAATTTTCTTAAAACAAAAATTATTTTAGATTGTAAGCAGAGCAAGGGATCTAGTGGTTTTAAAATGGTGTTTATTTTTTTATTTTTTTTTTATCTGTTTACAAAATTTCTACCAGAAAGAGTACTTAGATTTCAACATATAGTACCTTATATTTTAGAAAATTGGATCAAAATGGTACTTTAATGAGGTCATTTTTAGATTTTCTCAATAGTTATTTAATGCCACGGGAAAAACTACCGACAAATTACTAAAAACAATTAACAATTATAATAATAATATTACAATATTTATTCAACTTACAGGCTATAATAAATAATAACAATATAAAAAATCCAGACTGATAAACCATCACTGTTCAGAATCGTTTTTCTTATACAATTATATTATATTATTGAATTCAAGTTTAATACAATCCATTATACATCGACCTACTTGTAATCTACTGTTTAAGATTACAGACTGTTTTGGAGAGCAATATTCACTTACCCGCTTTTTTGTCTATAAACTTGAATAGGTTTCAAAATATTTTTACTTATTACTAAAATATATAAGACTTATAGGTACATATCTACTTTGAAGTAATACCAGAAATTCTTGGAAATTCTTAGAAAAAAAAATAATATTAGGTGTACTAAATACTTATTTAATAAGTACTAAATAGCAATATTGATTTGCTGTCTCTTGAAATCGGGTTTGCATAGAAAAAGTATGATACTTTCCTTGTTTCAATATGCTCTCAAATTTTAAATAACAAACAAATATTGTGTCAAAATAAATGTGTAATTTCCAATAAAAGTTTTTGAAATAGTAAAAAGTAAATTTAAATGCTGGTAAATAAATAAATAGTGTTTAATTATTTTAATTACCTATTTGTATGACTTGATAATTAAAATTATATTTAAAACAACCCTTACTTACCGCTATAAGGATATATTACAAAACAAAAGTTAATTTGTTCTTGTAAAAGCTTAATATTTACATAGAACTATAAAATAAAATAAAGGAACATATAGGGTTATACATTTTACGAAAATTCACGTTTTTGTTCTGTAAACATTAAACCAAGTACAATAATACAAAAGATGATAAACTCTGTATAATATAAAGAAACCATTTCTTGTAAATAATGTAACATCACTATAGTTGAATCGCACCAAAATATACATCGACGAGACTAAAAATTACGACGGAGTTGTTTTTTTAATAGGTAGTTATATAGACCTGGAAAATTAAAACTTTACAAAATTCCACTTACGCCCTGGCCCAGGTCCAGTAATAATATAGTA